AATCGGCGTTCGCGACGGCCCGGGAGCCTGCGCGGCCGCAGTGCAAGTCGGCAGGGACATGAGAGCAGAGAGTACTGCCACGGTGGACCCGTGGGGCCAGCCGAGGCCGCTGAGAAAGCAGGACCAAGGACCGAGGCCAGAACAACAACGTGTTCGCAGTGGCCACACTCCTCTCTCACTCTCTTGCGTTCGTCTTTGAGAGGGCAAGCAGTCCTCTCGTCTTTGAAGCAGAAGAGAGCCGCTGGCGGAGGACAAGGCTGTTGCTGGCTGGTTACACGCTCCTGCATATCCCAACTCCAGAACGGCAAGGCGGCCTTTTTTCCGTCTGAGATGGTGCTGGAGGGGAACAGGGGGTCATAGATGGCGAATTGGTTGGTCCTCAGTCGAGTGAAGCAATAGAGAGGGGGACGGAGATGCTCTTGAGGAAAGCCAGACCGGTTGGGTGTGCGCGGAGAGTGCGTAGAGACTAAGTAGAGTGAGAGAAAACGATCGCCGGGTGTCATGTGCAATCGATCCGGAGCAACGCCGTGGCTAGGGCGCGCGAGGTTGGCTGAGTTGGCACAAAGCCACCACTCGTCGCCAGCGGGTCGGAGCTGACCAGACAGAGCCACCCGAGTCGCCGGCGGAGTTTCGGAGGAAAATGTTGTGCCGAGGCAAAGTCGCGAAAAGTGTTGCGAGAAATAAAAGCTGCGGAAAATATGGACTTTTGAAAATGTTTTGCAGATTTTGGGAATGGGTGTGATCCGCAACTTTCTGACAGTTTTAGGAAATAAAGTTGTGGAAAACAGTTTTTTGTTCAAAATGTTGCGGAAAACTCCATTTTCTACAAAGTGTGTGCAAAATTAATACTTCCCCACTTTGACCGCCATAAGATAGGAAGAAAATCTGACCAGAAAAAATGTTTCTCAGATTGTAAGAGAAAAAGGGTGCATATGTGGGAAAAATGGAAGATATCTGGGCATAAGAGGCTTTTTTGTATAACAATGTTGATTCCTTTTTTTCTGATAAGATTGCTGTTCTACTTATTTGGTCTTTTTAAATCCATTTTTCCCAACAAATAAAGGTGTCCCTTTTTGGGGTCATTATTACCTTAATTAAGATCAATATCTCTTTGTGGTGTGACACAGTCACCCTAATTACATACCGAATCATCGGCCTGAAGAAAAGGATTTTTATCTTAATGAATATATTATTATATCTGTCATATTTGATGTTTTTGACTTCTTTTTTAGGACAGCTCTATTCTATGCAAAAGATTCCTGGACTCAGGCCCATATTCTATGTGAAATCTTGGGTATAGAGGGTGGCAATCCATACCGGGTTTTATACTTGCTGCAACAGAGAAATACCCACAGGAAACGTCAGCAACAATAGACAATCGGACGTCTTTTTGCCTTCTTTTGTGGGAGATACATGGTCTTGTCGCAAGGGATGGCACCGCGGGTTGGAACAGCAGCCAAGAACAGATTTGTGAGCGGTTTTGCGGGGTCCAACGTCGGATTGTCCATAAGCATAGGCAAAATGTGCTGATGAGAGACAGTCAGTGGAGATGAGACCAGTGGCGCTGTAGTAGATGGTCTCAAAGGGAGTGGGTGTTGTTTTGACACAGTGTAGGTGAAGATGTATTATCAATGAAGCAATGATGGAGGCCGCTCGAGCATGGTCGTCAAAAGTAGGCCACGTCACGACTTAGTCATATGTGATGACCACATGTTGGCCAAATCTTCCCTCGATGCATTCCGGTGTTACGGGCATCGCAGGCAGCATCAAATACAGTGCACAGACAAGACCAGCAATGGCAGCAACCCATATATATGGCCGTCACGGCTGTAATTCTACGGCATCAACAGGCTAGACCCGGACCGTAACCATCCTGTTGGCGGGGCAGCCAAACACCTCATCGGTACGGTAACACATAGCTGTAAGCCGTGGCCGTCAACCCGTGGGGACGGCAACGGGCGGTACTGTAGTATTTTACTCATTTCGAATGTCACATGTCACACTGCTGAAATTATACGAAATTTTTTTGTATGTCACAGTGGTGCCCAAATTCATGCGGAACTTTTGGGCTGCAGCCAAAACATGTCCCATGACAGCCTTAAAAAAGTAAAAATGGAATTTTTGTTTAGCTATTTAAATTACGCCAATATAAAAGTCACTTGTCGCTGACATCAGAGTCATCCCCGTCAAAATGCCGATAAAAGAACTTGTCCTGATATCGCGTGTTCTGACGCCGCTTCCGTCTTCCCCTGCCTTCTCCATCTCCCTCTTGCTCTTCACTCTGCATGAGCTCGGACACAGCATCTGACGACAGGCCACCACTGGCTTTCCTCCCCACCCGCGCCTTTTTCTTTCCCGCAATATCTGCCGCAACATGGGCTGGTAGGACGTCGCTGTCGTCGATCCCATCGCATTCATCAAGGCTGACGTCAGGGAGGATATCTTCGACAACCTCCACATCGTCACTCGGAAGTCCAACCTCATGGCCACGTTTTGACTGCAGCTCCTGCCAAAAGCTGGAGTTCTTGTCACGCTCGTCCCGCAGACGAGCCCTGATTTGCGGTGATGTTAAGGTTGAATATGATAGGTTCCAGTTGCGAACCTCACAGCGTCGGAATGCCTACGTTATATGATAAAACCTTTCAAGACTAAAGCATAATCACATACATTCTTGACGAGTTCCGGTTTTTGGATGAACTCAAAGGCGTTAAAAAGCCACGCAACACTTGACTTGCGGAGAGGGCCAATTTTGGTGTCGAAATGGACATCCTCGTTGCGTTCCAGTTGCCCGAGTAAGTCGTCGACCACCGCAGGCTGGTAGGATGCCTTCATCGACTGCTTAAACGGGCGGTTGATCCCCACGTCAAGAGGCTCTGCATCGGTGGGCTTCTGCGAAGAGAAGTAAGTGTCGATGTCTGTATGGTGAGTCGAAGCGCGTTGGAATGGCAGCTTGGATGCCAAGAAGGTCTTGACATTCACATTGTTGTCGAGAAAGAGCTGTTGATAGATGGTGGAGTGTAACCGGAGTGATTTGAGACGCTGGCTTGTCAGCGGCATCTCGTCTTGGGCTGGAGGATGCCACGTATCGATGGTGGAATGTGGTGGGAAAATTACGAAAATTTTCGCATGTCACGTCAAGATGTCGGATCATACGAATAGATATTTTCGTATCAAATGTCACGCTAAAATTGGCATTCGAAACGAGTAAAATACTACAGTATCCCTAATCTGAGTCCATACCCCCATCATCACTATCAGTTGAGTGTTCAGTCTCTTGTGACCTAGATACTGTCAGACAAGCAGTTTCACAGGTATTTCTCTTGGTTCTGCCAGCTGCTAAGCTTGTATTGCCAGTGAGAGCAAGAGAGACAGTAGGAAGGGTGCTGGAGGCCTTTTTGGGTCTTGGACGACCCCATTTTCAAGGAGGTGCATCATCAGCAGAGGTTGGTGAGTGTCAGTGTTTGGTTGACCATGATGAGTAAGTAAGATGCAGGTCCACTGCTACGACTATGTTTGTAAGTGGCACCACGACCACATCCTGACCTGGCATGTGTGAAGCCCTGGTATCATCATTAGCCTCAGTGTTGTCCCTACCTATCCCATGGCCTGGCAGCTTCTTGCTTCCACCCTTTGATTCCCGCAAATGCAGGGCAAGTTCATCATGTTTCAAGGAAAACATGATGGGATGGTTTTTCGGGCTCCAGCGTGATGTTTGAGCCCTGTGCAGCAGGCAGCTGAGCTTGCAGACGTGCAATGATTATGTCCTTGTCGCCGTCCGCGTTGGACGCGGACATGGCGTCAGCAGAGGGAAGCTTTCAGTGTGTGACGTGCCGCATCAGTCACTAAGCTTAGGTAATAACTTTTGCCTGCCCATTGAATAAAACTTGCCCACTGAATTCCAGTGTGCAGGGCAGAAAGATATGTATATTTATAATTTCTTAATGTTTTGCCCGCTGGTTTGCCCACCCTACCGTGAACTCCCCTAATGCACCGGCACTGCAGCCTGCCAATTGCCCACCATTCCAATACGTTTTCCCTACAAAAACAATTGGGTTAATCTTTGCTATAGCATGCGGCATTCAGTCATGGACCGAACACCGGGGCTGAATGCTGCACCAATATGGGCTCCAAGCGGCCAGCGCCCTTGCTCATGCAGAATGATAATACACAAGCAAAAATATAAAATCGACTGCGCTCATTTCTGAACACTACACCAAATAGTGTTTGCATGCTGGGATGGAGCTTAGAATACATCCTCCCCACCTAAAATTTAAAAAAATCCTCCACTTTTGTTCCCATTCCTCGAGGTGAGTATTTAACCGCCGCTAGGTTGGCGGGTCTCCATAGCAGCAGCCATCACTGTCGGCCTATTAATATTTAGGTATTTGGCGCCGGCTAAGCCATTCAGGCCCATTCTTAGCAAGAAACCTGGCCCAGATTCTACCGTGTGGCGCGCACTGAGCCCGAGGGCACAATCTTCCTGCGTTCATCCCAATCATCCATCCTCTCCAAACACACCTCAGGCTACCCCCCCCCTAATGTCTGGTAGGGCTAAAGTACCCCCCCTGTCCCGGACCCTAAGAGGTACCTTCTCCATGGGGTTACTCCATGCAGGCAGGGTTTACCCAGAGCCTGGGCAAACCCAGGGTATGTCACGTCACACCAAACAACGCATTTCGACCCGGGCTCGGTGCAGCGCGGGCGCGGGAAACGCGTCGTCCGCAAGGAACGCCAGGAGGCGGCACACCCACGCGTGCACCTCCATGCCCATCGGCCCGGAGCGCGGCGGCCACGGGCCACCGCATCGCCGGCCGCGCCTTGCGGGAAGCAACGCACCTCGCGCACACAAGACGGCGGGCCGGTTCTGACGAATTGCACGAAAGACGAGTTGAACCAGATTAGAGCGGTGGCGGTAATTCGAGATAGGAAGGATAGGTACTAGTAAGTAACAATTTATAAGAAAAAAGGCCCGAGTCCACACAACGAAACCCACACTGCCGTCAGTCCCGGCTATACCCCGGCGGCAGCTCCTCCACTACGACGGCCACCTCCGGGGACACCCCCGGACGGTAGCGCACGCCGCTGTCCTGATGCTGCTGGACGACGGTGACCACAGGGGGCGACGCCGCGCGCTGCGGCTCGAGCTTCGTATTCCCGGCGGACGACAGGCGTGAGGCCGAGGGCGTAGCATCGGAGCGGCCGCTCTCGCTTCCAAATGGAGGAGAGGAGTAGCCTCTGGCCGGGCCGTCGTACAGCCGGCTTGGCGTGCCGGCACTGCGCACGCTCGGGCCGCTTCCGTATCCGCTGGCCCGCGCGCCGGCGTCGCTCATCACCCACGGTTGGGGCTCCATCTTGTCCCTCTCTTCTCTGGCAACGTGGCGTCTACGTCGCCAGCACACAGTACCCAAGAGGAACAACAGAAGGGCGCCTACACCGCCCGCGACGCCGCCGGCGATCGCGCCGACTGGACTGGCTTTGTGTAAAGCGGGCCCGGGCGTGGCCGTCGCCCGGGCGCCGGCGCCGGATGAAGACGACGACGGGCTGGAGACGACCGCGTTGGTGACGTAAAACGCGCCGACGGGGAGCGGCGCGTGGCCCGCGTCGCCCTTGTACGTGACGACGAGGTTGTGGACGGCGGGTGTGAGCCCCGTGGCGGACAGTATGACAGCATTGGCACTGGCATTGCTGGCCGCGAGCGCAAACGTCTGTGGTGGGGAATCGTCGATGGTGTACGTGCCCGTCGTGGGGGTGCGAGCGAGCTCGTTGGGGATGTAGCCCATGAGCACGACCTCCGTTCCTTGCCTTAGTCAGTCTTAGTAAGCGTTGAAGGGAGCAGCACACACCGTGGAAATTGATTGCCACCTGCGCGCCCTTTGTCGTTGTGAGCTGCTGCGCGCCCCACGCCTGCCAGCCCGTCCCGAAGCTCACACTCGCGTCCGTATTTGGATACTCCACCACCGCGCCGTCCACGTCCCACGCCCCGTCCGCTGGCGCGTACAACACGCTATCCACATAAACCGGCGTGCCCCGCGTGTGCACCGTCAGCGCGAGGCTGTGCGGGCCGGGGCCGCCGACGACGTCGACGCTGCACAGCGTCCACCCGTTCTCGACCGCCGGCGTGCCCGAGGCGATCGCGATCCCGTCGACGGTGCACGCCCAGCTCGGGTCACGCGTCCCATCCGCCAGCGTCGTCACTTTCGTAGGCCCAGCCACCGCCACCGACGTGCCTGTCTTACACGTCAGACGACAAAACAGGCAGGCAGGGCACGCACCGTTGAACACAAAACTCAGCCTGCTCCCGTCCGTCGTCGTCACATGCGTCGTGTTCCTATACACCGGCCCAAAGCCCCCCTTCGCGACGTTCGCGGCCGCCCAGGTCGCGGCATATTCGATAGCGGCCGAGGCATCGTCCACTACTATGCGGCGCGCCATTACAGGTGCATCGAGGTGGGGAGGAGAGAAATAGTCGATGAATGGGCCGTGTCGTGTGATGTCGTGCCGCGTGGACGTGGGCGCCGTTCGACATCTCAGCAACCCTCCAGGCCCAGCCCGTCGGCGCGTCCCATCGCCCGTCCCGTCGCCGGATCGCCAAGCACCGCGCAGCCCGAGGCTTCGCGGTTGGCCATCGCGCGGGGAGGCAGTGACGGCGGGAGGCAACCCGCTTCAGAGCACGTGCATCAAGGATGGTCCGTGCGGCTGAGGACGAAAAACTGGATTTGTCACATAAACTTACACAGCTCATGAATATGACATCACGCATAGCCTCAGCTAGCAGCCTGCAATGTCTGATAAAAAGGAACCACCACGCATACGTATTGGCCGAATGACAATGACAGGGAACGCCAACAAAGCCAGCAGAGCCATCTAGCCTCATTTGAACAGAGCACCTATTACCCGTACCCACGTGCCTGGGCCTAAGTACCCGCGCCACCTATATATACACTCCAGAGTTTACTGTCAATTCAGCTTCCGAAAGTTGATAAGAAAATTACTAGTTCTTGCACAAATTTTTATTTTGCAGAAAACAAGTGGTTTCCGCAAAGCGAAAACTGTATGTAAACTGGTTTCTATAAGTTTGCAGAAACCACTTGTTTTCTGTAAAAATGAAATTTATACAAAAACTAATATTTTTAGATCAACTTCCAGGAACTAAATTCATGGTAAACTCCGGAGTGTATATGCATCAGATACCACAGCGCAAATGGTTCATTTTGCACAGCTGCAGTCAGAGCTTGATGATGAAACATCAGAAATAAACAATCCAGAGGTGTAGTCTCGAACCAGACGTTTATGGAAATCGGATCACCTAATGTCAGTAATTTGATGGACGGTGACCTCACCAGAACGTCTGGGGCAATCTAATTGATGACACCCCCCATCGAGTCACACCCTGCAAAATCACACTTGGAATTTGAGCTCACATTGGGGGGGTGGCCATCCAAAAGTTCATAGAGAGGTAGCTAATTGTGAACCAAAGTGTTGTCCATAAAAAAATGTATCATGCAATGTTTTGGGGGGGGGTGAAAACCTAATGGTTGTGATCAAACTGTGACTTGATGGGGGGTCTTGTGATCGAACTGCCCCAGGCGTTCTCAGAGAGGTTTCATCCATCAATTTTTACTGATTTTGTGATCTAGCTACCAAATATGGACGAAGGTCACGCTCTCTGAGAACGCCTGGTTCGAGGCTACAGAGGTGTGTACTAGTAGAGCGAGTATAGAGACTAACAAATACACTGATAATAATTTCCTTTCCCAGACACTACTAAGCCCCAAGGCCATAGAGTGCTTGTTCTGACAGTGATGGACCCAAGGTCTCTAGGGTCCTATCTGGTAAGGGCCCTAGAGGCCCTAGAATAGGGCCCTGCACACCAGCCAGTCATAGCTAGGGCCCTAGGTATGGCCCTATCCCTTATCTTATCTAATAAATAAATCAAATGAATCCTATCAAAATTATTTAGTGCTCTCAAAATAAGACAGTCCTATTGCTATATAGCTTCCCAGTCCAAACAAAGAGCTATATAAGCTTTACAAATTGTGTTTTACTCAGCTGATGTGTCTAGAAATGGCTCTCAACCATGACTATACTATGATATTCAATTATTTTTGAGCCATCAAAGTGTTTCCTTTTTGGGGGATAGGGCCCTAGCAGAGGCCCTATTTCTAAGGTGATAGGGCCAGTAAGGGCCCTGCAGGGTCTGAGGTACCCAAATAGGGCCCCTAGGGCCATCACTGTGTTCTGAGGGTTGTCAGTAAGGGCTCCAAGCCTTCACTGTCAATCCGACCGCTTGTGCCATCTTATCTTATAAGTTATATTATATTTGTAACTTTGTTGCCAGTCTAAATTATTGGATATATATCCAGAAAGTTTTTGTCTGGCCCTGGGAGCCCCTCCCCCCATCTCATGGGAAATTCAAAGCGAGAGTAATGGGACTGGGACTGGGACAATCTTACCAAGCAACCATGAGGCCCTCATTCAAATGATCTGGAATTTCTCTCGACAACTCACTGACGATTCCCGAGACAAGGTCGCTACTAGGACGACTGGGCAAGCACCCGCACGAACACCTCCTCGGTATGCTTCACAATCGCCCGCACCGCCACGTCCGACGGGCTGTACCCCTTCATCTGCGTCCCGTTCAGCACGCCCTACGCCAATCTCTATCAGCTCTCCGTCCTAAGAGAGCAATTTGCACGCACCTTCTTGTCTCCCTCCCCAATACCCTCGCCCTCCATAAACGTCTTGCGACTGAGCACATCGCCGTACCGGTCGCGCAGCTCGAAACCCAGCTTCGCGTCAAACAGCGCCCAGACCATGTGCTCGCCCGGCCTCGGCGGGCGGGACGGCGTTGATGAGGCACGGATGCCGCCGGACGAGGTAGTTTCCGAGCCAATTCAACGGCGCGCCAGGGAAGGTGGGGAGGTCGAACGTGAGCGCGGAGGTGAGGACGGTGCCCGGGTGCGCGTGGATGAAGGATATGGTGGGATGTTCTGCGGCGAGATGCTAAAGTAGCTTTAGAATCTGGTAATGAAAGAAGGGGACAGACACACAGCGAACCAAGCGTCGGTGTATGCATGACTCGCCATCATGCCCTTCCAACACGTGCTAAACGCGCCCTTGCGCGGCTTGACCGTGTTGCCCAGGTCGGCGAGGTCGACGGTGGCGGTGAACCCCGCCCCGAGAATCGAGATCACGCGTGCAGGCTGGGCCGCCGCTTTTCGAGGAGGGGCATAAGCGTCGGTCGTCGCGATCAGCGCGCGGTAGTAGTATCTGCATTAAAACTCAGCAAAAGGTTCGGTATGAATGGACAAAGACCACACACCGCACAAGGGGGGTTCAAGATCCGAATCACGGATATAGGGTCGGAAAGTTTTTTTCCGACCCTCCGGGGACCCCCCCCTCCCCCCCTCCTGCCATATAGGGTAATATGTTCCCACGATTAGCATCATGTGACCACTGATGCGATCAAAAATTGGCATAAAAATTTAATCTTTGTGAAACTTTTTTTTTTTCAAAAAAATTTATGTATTTGTATATGTATATGTGTAGGTATCTATATACCTGGAACCCTTAAATACATATGGCAGGCCATATCACTGTTCAATATGTTCACCTCTCATCCATTACCTGATGATGGGCCTGTGATAGGGTGTGCTATCCAGGCTCATGGGCCCGAAAGTATATAGATATAAGTATGGGGGTTGTGAACTATAGAAATGAGAGTGTATGCACTATATTTTCAGTGTCTTTACACCCATATAAGGCCCAAATCTTTTATATATAAAAAGTTTTTTTTACCCCCTGGGGACCCCCCCCCCTCCCCCCTACCCCATGTGCCTGATAAGGATCTTGAACCCCCCTTGACACCGCATGTGCAAATGCAGATCCAGCCCCTCGCTCGTGACCCCCGCCTGCGACAGCGAGTTGTACCCCGCATTGAGCACCAGGTACTCGATCCTCTCCAGGCCCCTTTCCCTCAGGAGCGCCGCCACCGCCTCGCACGCACGCTTCGTGCCCGCCAGCCGCGAGACGTCGCCCTTCACAAACTCCCGCAGCGGCTGCGGGTCAACATCTCTCGGGCGAGTCAAGCCGGCAAGCACACCCTTGTCGTCGCGGCCGACGATGATGACGTGTACCCGCCCGGCCAGCCGCGCGCAGAGCACCTCCGCGATGCCCTGCCCGATGCCGGACTCCGAAGACGACCGCTACCGGTGATGAGCTGTCAATATGACAACTGGTGAATAATGCCAGGAGGGCTCTATAAATTCATTTTGAAGCACAATAATCATGCCATATATATAGAACTTCCAGTAGAATTGTTCTAGACTTTAGATCTATTCCAGAAGGGACCAGCCGAGCGGTCTACACAGTTCTAGACCTATTCTAGACATAGACCTGGTCTAGAAACTGAACCGAATAGGTGGTAACATGTCTATATTTGGCAACTCTGAACCAGGACCTATATTAGAACATTCCAGAAGTCAGGACTAGAACATTCTAGAGGCGGATCAGCGGATCAGGTCACGGTGTCACACATTACATAATTATTTCCAGAGCAGTATATAAGGAGCCCTGTAAATTAGATAGAATAACAAGGAAACCTCTGGCGGACCTCCTGATTGTGACGGCTACCAGTGTCACATCAGTTAGGTTTAGAGGGGAAAGTTTCAAACCAATACAATCAGTGTCTCCTGATTGTGACACCACCACCGTCACATCAGTTGGATTTCTTTAAGTGCAAGTGCAAGTGCAAGTGCAAGTGCAAGTGCAAAGTGCAAAGTGCAAGTTCAGGTTTAAGTGCAAAGTGCAAGTTCAAGTTCAAGTGCAAAGTGCAAGTGCTAGGAGAGTAGAGCCATATTGCTCCTCTCAAATATCAACTCCTCACCCAACAACTGCTATTGTTCTGTTCATCACAGTGAAAACCTCAATACAAGCTTTTACAACATCCAATTACAACTGATATCAATAAGAACATCTGAATCTGTTAGCCGTTTCCTGCGGCTCGAACCCCGAACACAAACCGCACAAAATTAGGATTTGATTAGTTAAGTTGAAGGTCCTGGTGATCTCCTTGATTGCTCATTTTCTACGTGTATTATCTGGAGCCCACCGCGAGGGGTTCATTCAGATAACTACCATTGAATCAGTTCCCAATTGTTGTCAACTTGTTGTTTTCACTTGCTTCTGAGTATCTACTCAGAAGTCCTATCCATAGCTCAGTCAAATATCAGTGGGCTATCAAACATGTGTAACAGATCTATTGATACGCAAGTTAACACTGGAGAGACCAACATCTCCATGTCCGCAACAGAGGCTGAAATAGCTCAAGAATCTGCTTTTGCCCAAGTTGCATCAGTACCAGTTTCAAATGATTCACGAAGTCAAGAACCTGAAGCATCTGAAACCATCTCAATTGATTCAGATAGAGTCAAAGATGACTTGAAGATCAAGGCATTTCATCTTCTAGCTGAATCTAGTCAATTAGGTTTTCCACCTACCCTAGTCCCAGCTTTGGTTCAACCCAAAGCAAATATGAGAAAACTTCAGGCCCAAAAGTTTACACAAAGATGTTATTATTGTGAGCACATAGGTCACTTTACTAGAGAATGCCCTCAGAAGATTCAACATATCCATAATTCCTGGATTAGATTGGATCACAGAGGAAAGCTTCAGCTTGGTGATGGTCAGTACTTACCATCTGGAAATGAACCACTGGCTTGGAGAGTCCAACATTACTGGACTGCTCACTGAAATATGCCTATCTTGACCCTTCTTGAATATTTAATTTATTTCATTTATTCTTTACTGATTTAGATGATTTATGTATGTTTCCCACTTTTAGTGTCTTCTTGACCCTATGCAATTGTAACTTACTATGGACATATGCTTCTCTTTTCCTATGACATACTTATGTCTCACTACAAAGTTTTGAATGGAAGCAAGGAGATAGGTGAAAAATGTCTTAGCCACTGGCACCACACAATTTGTTTAACAAACTAGTTGAGTTAGATGCATTAGATTTCAGAACTCCGGGCAATATAAAGTGACCACATCACAGTTTTGTACACTTTAAACAACAAAGATGCATGATCCCTACTTGAACTCAAACATCAATCAAGCAACCCAATTGCTTGGATGAAATGAGTATGATCGTCTAGTTGTGACTTCAGAGTCAATTGCATCTAAAGTCCTGGCAAGACAGTAGACAATGTAACAAGTTGTCCGTGTCTGAAAAGAAAAGGTATATATATGGTCCCAAGGGGTTGATGGGAACGGCACTGAACGTAGAGGAAAGTTGGCCCTTATATAGGGCAAGCGAATGTGCTGACTAACAAGCACGGGACTCGCGACATGAGTCAGACAGAAGGGTCTAGAACAAGGCCCCGAGCTTCGGAGAAGAACTCGTGGGAAGACAGGTCGGAATTCGGAGCGACCGCCCGGACTAGTCCAGAGACAAACTGGACAACGAACGTCCGCGATGGCAGCCACTGTAGCACCAATATATTGAAAATGTTGATGTACACAGCGTAGCTATGACCTGTCGTCCGTGACGCGCCCGCGAGTGCAAACGGTAGTTTGTGCACAACCGTCAACGGCCAGCATATTGGGATCGACCTGCGACCACGGTCCATCCCGCCCTCAACCCCACAAGCCTCGCAGCGAACCAACCGAGAACCAGCCGGATCGCGAGTGGCTAGTCAATTGAAGAGAGCTGCCCAGAACGGCGGAAATCGCAAGAAATCTTGCGCGTCACGGCCGAGCGATGACGAGGCCATCCAGCCACGAGGAGCGCCGGAAGCGAGACGCACCACAACCAATGAGTGGGGCCACCGGTAACAGACAGCCGAACGAGCGACACGAGGCTCGTGCTAGTGGTACAGGGACAGGGACAACGAAACTCACCTGAATCCCCGCCACAAGCTACACCAAACAGCGAGGAACCGCCGTTCCCCGTTCCCCGCCTCCAGCTCCTCCCATCCCACCCTTCAAAGTGCACCCATTCAATAGATAGGAAGCTTGGACGATGAAGCACCGTCAGGACGACAAAATACACGAGTAGTCACGCGCGCTTCAAGCGATGACGCGTCGAACAATGACGCGTCACCCAAGTGCCGAGTGGAGTGGGCCAGCGAGAAGCGCTGCCCGACGCGCCAAGAGAGGCGCGAGGTCGTCGCCAGAAGAGCCCAGAACTAGCACACGAGGCTCGTCGAGTCGCAGGGCAGGGGAGAGGTCCTCGAAGAACAGTGTGGTGGTGGTCAAAGAAGCAAGTGTGAGAACGTTGATCGCAAACGGACCGAGTCCGCCCGGTGACCGACGATCCGGTCGGATTAAACCGAGATCGCCGACGAGATTAGATAGACTGCTGTATGGCAGACGAGGCAAGCCGATAACGACGATCTCTGGCTTAGCCCCAACGAGATAATGACGATTCAGCAACAATTGAGCTTAGATAAGGAAGATAAGGCTCAGATAAGCGAGAACAATAGAAATAAAAGGGTAATAAGCCAACAATGGCAGCGGGGAACGTGATCAAGCATGGCTGATAAGTCGGACTTAAGTCAGAAAAGGACGATAAAATTCAAGAAAACTGTGGATAAAATTCAGAAAAATCCAGGAAAGTTCTACAAGCTTGGTATACACAGAAAATATATATAAGTCCAAGGAATTCAGACTCTATTAAAGAACATATGGTTGTGAAGAATTATAGATCTGGAGAGAAGAAGGAACACAGATAGTCAATCATCACTGTAGGGGACTGGAACTCAAATGTTCTTGCATGGCATAAAACAAACCCAGTGAAAAATGTAGCTGGAAGTGAAAAAAAATGTAGTCAAAATATTATTGCTTCAGATGACCGAGGACGGTCAATATTTATAAAAAGGGGAGATGATGAGCTGTCAATATGACAACTGGTGAATAATGCCAGGAGGGCTCTATAAATTCATTTTGAAGCACAATAATCATGCCATATATATAGAACTTCCAGTAGAATTGTTCTAGACTTTAGATCTATTCCAGAAGGGACCAGCCGAGCGGTCTACACAGTTCTAGACCTATTCTAGACATAGACCTGGTCTAGAAACTGAACCGAATAGGTGGTAACATGTCTATATTTGGCAACTCTGAACCAGGACCTATATTAGAACATTCCAGAAGTCAGGACTAGAACATTCTAGAGGCGGATCAGCGGATCAGGTCACGGTGTCACACATTACATAATTATTTCCAGAGCAGTATATAAGGAGCCCTGTAAATTAGATAGAATAACAAGGAAACCTCTGGCGGACCTCCTGATTGTGACGGCTACCAGTGTCACATCAGTTAGGTTTAGAGGGGAAAGTTTCAAACCAATACAATCAGTGTCTCCTGATTGTGACACCACCACCGTCACATCAGTTGGATTTCTTTAAGTGCAAGTGCAAGTGCAAGTGCAAGGCGTGCAAGTGCAAAGTGCAAAGTGCAAGTTCAGGTTTAAGTGCAAAGTGCAAGTTCAAGTTCAAGTGCAAAGTGCAAGTGCTAGGAGAGTAGAGCCATATTGCTCCTCTCAAATATCAACTCCTCACCCAACAACTGCTATTGTTCTGTTCATCACAGTGAAAACCTCAATACAAGCTTTTACAACATCCAATTACAACTGATATCAATAAGAACATCTGAATCTGTTAGCCGTTTCCTGCGGCTCGAACCCCGAACACAAACCGCACAAAATTAGGATTTGATTAGTTAAGTTGAAGGTCCTGGTGATCTCCTTGATTGCTCATTTTCTACGTGTATTACCGGGATTGGGGAGTCCGCGGGAGCGCTGGTGTGGGTGGAGTTGAGGGTCTTGGCTTGCGCAAAGGAAGGCATAACAGCATAGATGCACTGCGCATAATTATACGAGACGCGCGGAAGGCAGCCGACAGGATGGACGGAGGAAGCAAACGCTGATTGGGGGATTGGTAATACGATCATGCCAAATCATGATCACTGCATACCGCGACGGGCGAACGCAGTGCGTGGCAGTAATCTCCCCTGAATCTGGTACTTACTCAGTCACACTCATCTCCATGATTCTGCCAGCTGGGTAGCAAATGTGGGAGAGTGGTAGCGGTACCACTCGTAATAACCTTGTCATAACTAGTCACATGGATCTCAATACCCCGAGAAACTCGTCTGCGCATCCCACACCCGCCCAGCCACCTCCGACCACTCCACCCTCCCCGGGCCCGCCCCAGACGGGAAGCGCGCCCAAACCGCGGTGACCCACGTCTTCTCGAGCCCCACCGCCCCAACAAACACGTCCGCGCCGAGCTCGAGCCGGTCCAACTGCGGGAACGCGGCCATCAGCGCGTCCCCGAGCTTGCGCCGGTCGCCGGGCCGGGTGAGCTTGAGCGGCGCCGGGGGCGGGGCCGGCGCGGGTGCGTTGCGCGCGCTGCGCCGGGTGGGCTCGGCCCGGGCGGGCGGGTCGGGGTCTTCAAAGAACGTGATCTGCGTGCGGTGAAATTGGAGCACGAGTTTGCGCAAGCTGGGGAAGCGTGACATAATATGGTGGAGGGACGGCTCGTCGCGCCGTGGCTGGCTCTGTCACGATAAATCAGACGAAGGTTACGGTAAAATGTCGACCACGCACGGTGCCAGTCTCGGTGATACACAGCCGCTCAATCCCGGGCACCCACTTCGCGATTGCGGTCATCATGTCGGCGGTCGGCACGGCCGAGCCGGGGTCGCGCACCAGCGACAGGCTCGTCAATGTCGCCACGTGCTGCGCTAGGAAGCGCAGGCGCTGGACGTCGTTGAACGTCATGTATAGCTGCACGTTCTGCAGCTTCCACCCCTTCACGGCCGGCTGCACCGCCTCGAAAGCTTTCGCCGTTATGGACAGCGAGACGACGCTGGGCAGACAAGACAAGTCCGGAGGGTGTTTTACGCTGCAGTTCGGGAGGGATATCGCGGTCAGATTTTGTGTGGCGAAGAAGCGCACAGCGGCGACGGCAATGTTGTGGGAGGTAAACGGCGCGACGACGGTGAAGTGGGTCAGGCGGCAGGAGAGCGCGGTGAGGAGGGGCCATAGCTGTGGGTCGTCCTTCACCGTGATCACTATAGTATAACAAGGTCAGTCCCATTCACGAGCGATGCAAACGACGCACGGTAATCCCCAGCTTGCAACACGTGCAGTTGCCTCAGATTCCCGCATCGCTCCAGCGCTGACTGGAGTCGTGCCGCATTCGAGGCCGGAATCTGTCCGTTCGGCAGCGCGATAGTCAGAACACGCGCCTCCTTCCCCTTTTCCGAGCCTATAATGGCACTGCACCACCCCTTTAGTCCCTCTGCCCCAACCGACGCGCTCCGGTACAGCGCCGCCTCGGCCACGCCGCGCAGCGCCTTGGACAGGCTGCACAGCGCCACCAGCGTGCGCTGCGGGACCTGGGAGAGGATGAGCAGCGCGACTTCGGGCGGGAACACGTCCATGGTGGTGGTTGAAAAAAGAAGGTCGGCTGACGTTGTCGATCATTGTGATCCGCCGATTAAAAGCGTGATCGCTGACGCATTTGTCAGCGCCGCGCCACGCCGTGAGGGATCGGCGGGGCGCTCAGGCGTAAGCTTGTTACGGCGACGAATCAGAAAGGCATTCCAGCGCTAGCGCTGCTGCACGTTGGCTGCGCGCTGCCCGCCGCATGCATTGCTTTGAGTTAAGCTTTGAGTATGCTGCACAAGCTCCTAATAATAAAACCGACTTCGGCCCACAATATCAGGCTTATGAACTAGAGAAGTCCGTCTGCGCATCCCACACCCGCCCGTCCACCTCCCAATTCTCCAGGATTGCCCCCGACGAGAAACGTGTCCACACAGCCGTGATCCACCTCTTCTCCAAGCCGCCGGATACGTCCGCGCCGAGCTCGAAGCGCCGCAGTTGCGGGCCCGCGGCCATCAGTAAGTCGCCGAGCTTACGCCGGCTCGGCCCGATCCTCGAAATAGGTGTGTTGAGAGCGGTCGAACTGGAGTACGAGCTCGCGCAGGTTCGGGAAGAGTGGGAGAGCGGCGATAAAGGCCGGCTCTTCGCGCTGTAGTTGAAAAAATGGAGGACCGTTCACGCACCGCACCGACATCGGCGACACACAGCCTCTTGCAAGATGCCGGGGACGAACTTGGCGAGCATGTCGGCGGTCCGGACCGCCGAGCCGTAGTGATGTACGATCGAAAGGGATGCGAGCGTGTCGGCGTGCGTCGCGAGGAAACGCAAGCGCTCCACATCGCCGACCACGCTCATATGCAGCTGTACATCCCGTAGTTTCCACGCCGCCGGCGCGGGCTGCACCGCCTCGAAACCTTGCGCTGTAATTGCGAGCGAGGTAATGTTCGGCAAGGACTGCCATTAAGATCTTTGGGCTAGTGAACAAGGAGCTGAACGGCGCGACGGTGGTGAAGTGTGTGAGCTGAAAACTTGAGGGAAGCGCAGCGAGGAGCGGCCACAGCTCCGGGTCGTCCTTGACCGTGTCCACTTGGGAGTAAGGATAAGTAAGAAATCCGCCGGCGGGTGACGAGTGACGCACGATATTCCCCGGCATGCAGCACGTGCAGCTGCTTGAGGTTCGCGCAGTGCTCCAACGCCTGCTGTAGACGGTCTACGCTTCGCAGCGGTATCCGGCCATACGGAAGTGAGAGCGTTAGGGCATGCGTCTCCTTTCCCCGGTCCGAATCGGTAATCGCGCTGGCACCACCCATTTAGCGCTTCCGGCCCGACGATTACCGGCGCGTGGTACAGCGCCGCCTCCACGATACCCCGTAGCGCCTTCGAGAGGCCACATAGCGTCACTAGTGTGTGTTGTGGCACCTGGTAGAGGATGAGCAGGGTGACTTCCGGTGGAAATGCGTCCATGTCAAGTGGTGGTGTCAGGAAAAGAACGTGAAGTGTTGATCATTGATTCATTCTGATCCGCCTTTCGTAGCCGCTGCCTCAAGGCAATTGTCACACGGGCAAATACAGCTTCGCTTCTACCATTGCATCTCCTTTCCCCTGCCTCATGGATACCCAGCCACTCAGCTTATCCGCGCCAGCTACCATCCTTCCGCCGCCGGAGCCAGCGCTAGCGCCGTCTGAATCGATACCGGCCTCCGAGTCGTCGGCGCAAATCTTCTCGCACGCGAGCAACTTCACCGTGACCGGCGGGAGCTTTCACGCCGTTAGCAACACATCGTACCACACCCATATTTCAACGGCGGATCTTGACGACGGCGACGAAGGTGCGCACCGTTTGCCTCTGATCGCCAGCGATCGTTCCCGACGCACCTTACAGATTATCGGCGGATCCGATGGGGCGATATCAATCTGCGACACCTTCTCCTGCGGTTCACCCCAGACACTGACTCTGAGTCCGTGGCGAGTGTTACCAGGTCCGGCCCGACGACACGCTCAATGTACGCGGCCAAGGTGTACGGCTCAACCTCGGATATGTCCGTCGCTATCTACGAGGGTGGCGACGCACAGCAGGTGTGTGGACCTGGGCTTTTCCTCTCACAGACAATACTCAGGCAAGAAAATATGTCAGAGGTGGATCAAGGCTATTAAAGAACACAGTGCTATTTGGTATGACTTGCCCTTGTTACCCCTCCCATTTTTCATAGCCTTCCAGTCACCCAGCTGTCTTGCAGTTGTTTGCAGTATCGAGTCGCAAATATGGGGCTATCTATGCAGCAGTGTTCCATGATGGTATGGAGAATGCAAATTATGCAGCTGGAAAATATGTGATTTTGTTCTTAGATCTTGTAGCCCCAGAGCATATGTTTCATCTTGCAGGATCATCTATTTGTGCCATGGTTTACTACCAGTGCTATCTGGTAGGTTATGTCTGCCATAATTCTATCATTGCTTTCTTAATTTACAACATAGATAAGGGAATCCCAAGTAAGTTTATTATATAATACTTTTTCTTCTAAGACTAATATATAGAAACTTCTACATTATATATATCCAGAGCCCAACTACTACCGCAGAATATTCAGGGAGATAGTATGTATACCCTTTTTCTTGTCATGTACTTAGTCAAAGTGCTATTGTTTAGCCGTCAACCTGGTTTACCTATTGGATACGTCTCTCAACACAATGTCTAACAATCGAACTATTTCCCACAAAGCCCACCAAGTTGATGCCATGTCGTTACATGTCATATCCTGCTTCAACAGCTTACCCAGTAGTTTATCCAGTTGCCCTCAATCTCCCAGACATGGTCCAAACAATATCTATTGAATCTTTTTTGCGTAACATGATGTGGAGACTTAACCAAATTGAACAGCCACTTGATATATCTCAACTAAGCAATCTGCCTTGGCCCCCTGCACAGCTTGTGGTGTTAGAGGCTAGTACCAATAAATACAGAGCTATAGCAAAATTACCCTGTGTATATCAGCAGGGGGAATGGATTAAGGGCTCCTTCAGATGCCCATGTTGGCAACCCCTTGACAAAAGAGTGGGATGGTTACAGTTAGTATGGCATATGGTCCCTGGTATTCATTTCTAATTTATATTAAATCAGGTTTGAAACAAGTAGCCCATGGCAGCATGACATACCTTTTAAAGTGAACTTTGGTACTGAAACTACACGGATTAACTGGTTTGATGAGGAATCTTTCACATGGCTACCCCAGGCACTCTATATTTTTAAGGAGCTTGGAGTATCCAAAAACCGACATGAATACAGTATGTAACATTACTTGACAAGATTATATATACTTATGCTAACAAAGTGGTTTGGATATGTGTCACATGTACAGTGGAACTCAAATTTGATGTTGAGAATCCAGGAATCAGAAGAGAGGACAAAGCATATTTGAATCTTTGTCCATACTCGGCATTCCTTGATGGTTCCAAATTCCAGATGCCTGAGTGCATTGCTTATTGGTCTCTTGATCCTGACGGAGAGCAGCCAGTAGATACAGCTACAGGGGGGCTCCCTGCACTTGAGATTACATTTTCTTCTACAACCATCTCTTGGGATGATGAGATATATGATACCCTTACCCAGTTTTTCACTTTAAAAGGATTTGATCCTTATTCATTGGAGGTAGCAAACCACCTTGGGATAGAGCAGTGTATAATAGTGGATCAGCCCCAAAGAGAGTCTAGTCTCATCTAGTATCAAGCAAATAGCAAGGATATCAGTGAAACAGAGCTATAGTATGTTATTATAAGCACAGGAAGCCAACTGGGATTATATAATCATGTTGGAGAAAGGGAACAAATTGACAGTATTTACCAATTTCCATGATTTGTCTATCACTTTTGTTTAAAGTAGAAAGAAATACTTTAAAACAAGAGTGTTCTTGATTACAGCCATATTGCCAATATGATGTGTTATAGTTGTGTGTATAATGGAGAATTCTTAAGTGCTGTTGATAAGCTATAGTCTGGGACAGACTAGGAAACAACCAATTTTGTTGATTTTATTGCTCAGCATATGTCTCGGAGTTGACATGAGTCCTGAATGGTCAACTAGGGAAAGAACCAGTTGAAGTATATTAGATCATACTCTGTGATTGTGAAGTCTAGATTAAGAAAAGTTTGCAGAGCCTGTTTCTCGCTAGGAACTATCCAATCCTATGCAAAATACCTAAAGGTAGTGTATGACAAAAGGCATATTTGGTTTGGCACATGTTAGGGACTTGAAATTTACTTTTCTCAGATAAGGGAAACCCTATCTTCACTGTTATTGGCGACCGACATCATTGGAATACTGTAGTGATAGTATTTAGCCTAAAACTAGGAGATATACTTAGGAAATATATTTCATAGTGCTTCTTGCTTGCCTTCACTCGCCAACTGGCATCCTCTGAATTGGTGTTGTTTATGACACCTAGGCTACTAGGTATAGCCAGGAGGCTATGTACACCTAGAACTTTGGCCTAGCACTTCTCCCTAGGCTAAAGCATTATTTTTATAAATATATACAGAAAACCACTTTTTTGCTCGTTTCATGGGTACAGCACACATCTAAGAACTGGCATAAGTCCCAAATGGCCGGTTAGGGAGATATCTGCGAGGAGGCATTTCGACTCAACCGTTGTTGATAGCAACTGGCTATTTAGAATGATCCCTAGAACAACCAAAACAACAGCAGAGCCCAAGCAAACATAGAGGATCTATCCAATCCTTTATATATACTAAAAGGGAGTATAAACCAAAAAGGCATATTTGGTTTGGCGCGCCTTGGGACTCGAACTCAGAACGCTCCAACAAAGGTTCAACCAGGCTTCGAATGGATCAATCCCTGACAGTATTGGAACACGGTTTTGGAGCTTATGCAAGGATAAGAGCATGTGGAGGTGCGGTTAAACGGGAAACATGACTCAGTGGAAACGAGGGGCTTGGCTGCAGATTGCGGCGACCTTAACCCGCAATCGTCCAACCAAATGACTCAACAATAGATTGTGATTCTCTTGTTGTAGGAGTTGCCCAGTGGTGTCTAGTGGTTAGCCTCAAGTTATGGGTATCAATGGAAAGCTAGGAGGTGGAGCAACACGATGATAACAACAATGGTTAGCAGACCGTTCATAAAAACGCATAGACGGTTGCAAGAAAGGAGGATTTACAAAGGTCATTGACACCAAACACATGTTACCGGTCATCTAGACCTGGATTTTCGACTCTAGGCCTTATGACGAAACGAAACCTTACAAATTATGCATATGGACCATCATTCTGTTGTGGCGATTTACCTGATCTTATCATTTTCTGTTTAGTATTTATATCTCTGTCCTGTATTGGAGTGATTCACGGATTGCCCCGCATTACTAGGTGCATCTGGAGATCTAGCTTGTCAATATCATCTTGCTAGCTCTTTCATTCAGTAAAAAGGCATTGTGATTGAAGGGTTAAGGGTTCCGGTTGCCGTATAAAAGAGTTTTGGTTAGCGTACACTTGGTTTCGGTTGGCGGTCGAGAGTTTAAGGCAGTTTGTTGCTGATCCAAATGAGTATAAACAGTTCTGGGCATCGTATTAGCGTTTTCCTATTGTGGGATTTCGTCTATAGTACACTTAAGAACAACCACAAAATGAATGTTTAACAAGATTTCATTTGATCTACCCTACAACCTTGCACATCCGTGTACAGGCTCTGTTCCCAGGGTTCTGCACTTGTATTAGGAGACGGTTATTGGTGGTTATCGGAATGGTGTTGCGCAGTTATAGCTTGAGCAGAACGGCTGTTCGTCTTTTTGTTTTTGGGTTTTAGTTGTGTAGTGTTGGTCTCATCTTTGGCCTCCCACCTGTCATCCACCCTCATCAACGTGTCACACCAGCCCTCTGGCACCGAAATATTTCGGTGTGTCACAACATATTATTCAAATGCCAAATGTCAGATGGCCATCAGAGTATCAAAATTTTTCTAGTGGCCGCTGAATATACCAAATTTCTTCAGCAGTCACACAGATTACCAGGCAGCGCTGAAATTTTCATTTCAGCACCAATATCACACAGTTTTTCACCACCGAATTGAATAAATTATTACAGTATCATCTGTTTTAGGCTGCTGGAGTATATTATCCCCCTTATTGACTCTCACACCTTCAAGTGTTCACTTATCCATGGGTATCATGGATATAGAAAGTTCTATCTGTATCTGTATCTATACGGATAAAATCCGTGTATCCGCATGGATTGCACCTATCCGTGCCATTCCCTAATTATTATTAATATTATATTATGTATTACATAACAGTTTATCACATCATTGATGCTATATTAATCTAGATAATGTCATGGTTTGGGTCAGGCTGATCGGGTTGCGGGCCGCGCGCCCGCGTGGGGCTATTCAGGCCTGACGCCCCCCCACGCTCCTCGAACTCCCCATTCCTCCAACCCCTTCCTTTCACCCCTATAAGTCCTACGTAGTGCCCATCCAATCCGCCCTGGGACCTGGCACCCATCCGATCTTATCCCTAACATTACAGTGTATAAAGTTGTACCTACAAGCTGTAGTTGCTAGGCTAATATTGTCTATTGTCTGGGCTAAAACCCACTCTTTTGTGCTCCTCAAACCTCTTTGAAGTTAAACAACCCAACGACCCGATATGGCCCGAGCCCAACACTGACAGATAAGATGATTCTAGTCTAGATTACTGGGTACACCTAGGCTAGCTACATTTACTATCCTAAGCAATACATTTCCTAGGTGCACCTAAGCCAGGAGGCTAGTTCTTATAGCTATAGGTGATAGATAATCAGTGGCAACTCAAAAGCACTACCAAGGAACTGGGAATCTGAACACTTGATTTGTGCCAGGAGAGTTGGGACAACCACTGCTGATGCTAATTAAATGCACAAGATACAAGTTATGAGTGTCATTATAAGGGCAACCCCGGAGGCTCCCACAAGAGTCCTAGCAGGCTAATAATTGTATTCTCAAGTGGCAAAAATTTCCCTTTATGGAAATCTGGCATCACTCCATATTACAGTATATACAGTATGGCATGGGTACTGAACAGTGGCTATTGATAAAAGTTCCTTATTGGAATCCATATTATTCACCTTTATTCAACCTCTACCTATTTGACTTAGCAGAAATTTGCCTTGAAGTTCAGAATTATTCACCCCCCCCCTTTTCCATACATCATTCACCACTTAGGTAATTCTGAGAACACTGGAACTAAATTTTTCGATACATTCTTCCTAATTTGGACCAAAGGAAACCCCAAGTACTACTGCAGAGTTATACAATCATATGCTTGATGCATACTCCATCTGAAAAGTTTCTCTAGGAAAAAAATTGACTTTTGGATATCATATTGAACTCTTCTGGACCCTGCAGTTAGACACCTATTTATGATTCAATCCGATGATTCGATCAAAATGACGTTGACCGTCGGCCTTCTTTTTTCACCACCATGTCTGCGTCGCCGCGTTTCCCGCAAGAGGTCGTCCGGCTCATCCTCTGCCACCTCCCACAACAAGAGCTCGCGACGATGTGCACGCTGTCAAAGACACTGCGCGTAGTCGTGGAAGCGGCGCTGTATAGGACGGCGGTGGTTGGTCCGAAAGCGCTCGCGGGCTGGTGTGGTGCGATTCTCGATTCAGAGCCGGACTCGGGGCGGGCACGGGAGACGCGCGTGCTGACGCTGGCGATGGCGGACTGGCTGTTCACGGGGAGCGCGAAAGAGCAGCTGCAGCGCGCGCTGGGGGCGTGTGTGAATTTGAGACAGCTGCACGTGGTGTTGCAGGCGGGGCAGTATTGTGCGTGCGTGGCCAGTCTAGCAGATTCATAGATACTCACCGTCGCAGTCATCACGGCCAAGGACGACCCGCAGCTGTGGCTACTCTTCGCTACTCTGCCTTGTCAACTCACACACTTCACCGCCGTCGCGCCATTCATGTCCCAAGCCATTTCCGTCGCCAGCACGCGTTTTTTCGCGTCTCCCGCCGCGCAAACCCTCACCGCGCTCTCCCTACCCAACTGCTGCCCGGAAAACACTCCCGACTTATCCTGCCTACCCAACATCGTCTCGCTGACCATGACGGCGAAAGGCTTCGAGGCCGCGCGGCCTTCAGAGAAGGGGTGGGAGTTGCAGAGTGTCCAGCTGTATCTGACGTTCAATGACGTCGCCCGCTTGCGTCTCCTCGCGCCACATGCCGCGACACTGACCAGCCTAGCACTCGTGCGTGACGCGGGCACCCCCGTGCCGACCACCGACATGCTGGTCGCCATCGCACAATGGGTGCCGGGCATACAGCGGCTATGCATTACGGAGACAGGCACCGTGAGTGCTAACTTGCCAACCAGCCTATTCTCACTCATTCTTGCCAGATCCAGCCCCGGCGCGATGAGCCGGTACTGCACACCGCCCTGCCACTACTCCCTCAACTCCGCGAGCTCGTGCTCCAATTCCACCGTGCCCAAGCCACCTTCTTCGTGGACCCCGACCCACCGGTGCCTCGCCGGCCCCGCGCTCTCCCAATCCGGCGCAGCACCCGGCATACCTCCGCGCCGCCCGATGCTCCGGGCCCGTCCGGTCCGGCGCCGCTCAGGCTCACGCGGCCTGCGGACCGGCGAAAGCTCGGGGCCCTGTTGATGGCCGCGGCCCCGGGCCTGCGCCGCTTCGAGCTCGGCGCAGACGTATTCATCGGCCCGGTCGACCCGCGGCTCGCGCAGAAGTGGCTTACGGCGGTGTGGGCGCGATTTCCGTCCGAGGAGGAGAGTGTGCAGCACTGGGAGGTGCGCGGGCGGGTGTGGGATGCGCAGAGCAGTTTTTCGGTGTCTTGATGTAGATGCAAGTCCAATGGCTAGTTTCTTTTGGGATAGTGGTAGTGCTTATATTTATGCCCTAGTATCCAAATCAAGACCTTAGCGAGATGATGCTCAGTCACCATCGGTCCCATGGTGCAGGCGTGGATGTCTTGTTCACGACTGATCAAGCCATTACGCCTTACCAGCTTCTTTGCAGCTGCGGCAGCACGACGCGTCGCCTCAAGTCTTCTCGTATGCGAGGGGGCATCACGATAATTGGCGGGACCTTTCAGGCGGTAAGCACGTCGTGCAATATGCACGTTTTCACGCAGCTCATGTAAAGGTCGCAAACACAAATTTCCCCATCTGCTGACTCAAGACTCGCCCGGGGTAAGTGCAGCTGCCATCCCTCATGGCGAGGGTTCTCTCCCTGGGTTTATTGAGAGCTACTGGTAGTAGCGCCCGGGCGTCACCGGAAGAGGATAGTGTCAGACAGGCAGTGAAGAGTACCCGAACGGCGTTGAGGCCCGCGTCAAACCCAAGTATTTTAATATTTATCAACTACAGTAGTTAGTGGTATTGTATGTACTTGCTTCAACTTGGAGTTGAAGTGACTTCTATGTGTTCGACAGTTCAAGTGCCAGGGTTTGAAGTTTCCGGCGCAGTTCAAGTTGCAATTGAATCACTCGATCGAAAAGACAGCACTGATCGGCGAGGAGGCGTCATCCCTTCAAAGGCCGGTTCTTCAGTAGGTTCTTCTTCATCGTCAAGGGTTAGCCCTACAAATTGACTATATTTGTAGGACTTCTGCCCAAAATCCTCGTTTTAGCCTATATGCGGCAATCACTGTTACGTGACCACACTTGTTTCCCTTGCTTCCTCCGCCCATCATAGCTGGCTATTCGAGTATCTTGTCGACTGTGGCAGCGTCCTGTCGCCTTCCCGTTCCGCAGCAATATCATACGATGCCCGTGTCCGATTTAAACGTTCGCGTTTCTCAAGGTCCGACGAGACTGCTACACTAAGAAAACGTCAAATCGAAGCTGTAGACTCGGAACCACAACTCGCGCGCCCACGGCCGGTCCAAACGGCCTTTAGACTCCTACCAAGCTGCGCAGAAGCGAATAAAAAGTGTGGGCGGAGTTGGGCGGAGGTCGAACGCCTGAGCTGGACATGGTCTCCGACAACTTGAAGTTGCACCTGTCGGCCTTTTTGTTAGCCTTTTGTGGGGTTTCTACTGCCCAGGACACGTTTAACTGGTCGAAGGTGAGTTTTATTGTGCTCATTCCTTGCCAGCAACGCTAATAAATGTTTTTTTCTTTTATCCAGCTCACACCCAGCACGAATCTCTCTTGGGTGCCCTGCGACTCTGGCTTTGAATGTGCGCGCCTGTCCGTCCCGCTGGACTACTCCTCGCCGTCCGCGGGCACCGCAGCCATCGCGGTCATCCGCTTTCCTGCCCAGGTCGCACCTACCGACCCCGCATACCGGGGACCTGTCTTGTTCAACCCGGGCGGCCCGGGAGGGAGCGGCGTGGACGGTCTTCTCAAGATTGCGCCAGCTTTTGCGAGCATCGTAGGCCCGAACTTCGATTTCGTCAGCTTCGACCCGCGAGGTAATTCTCCTCCCCATTTTTTCTTCTCCTTGAATTTCTACTAAAATCCACAGGCGTCGGCGTCTCCACTCCCGCTGTATCCTTCTTCAAGTCCGGCGTCGAAAATGCATTGTGGACCGCTGGGGAGCTGCCGGCCTCGCTCAATTCTTCCTCCGACTCGACGGCGCTTGCGCGGGCTTGGGGGCTGGCGCAGATCCAGGGCCAGGTCGCCGCTGACAGAGATTCTTCGGGAATTCTGAAGCACCTCACGACGGACAACGTTGCGCGCGATATGCTGCTGATGACGCAGAAGATGGGCTTCGACAAGCTCAAATTTTACGGACTCTCGTATGTGACTTGTCTGTCTCCTCAGGCAGACTCAAACTTATTCAATGCGGTTGCTTTAGGTATGGTAGTGTCATCGGCGCAACCTTTGCGGCACTCTTTCCGGTAAGCATCTTCGAGAAAACCAAGTTTTTTGATACTTAATTTGGAGGACTCGGACAGGATAAAATCGAGCGCATGATTCTAGATGGCAAGTATTATTTTTTTTCTACTCTCCTTCCTATCCTGACCACGGACGGTTTTGCAGGCGTTCTTGATGTAGACAGCTGGTATCAAGGTACTTACTTCAATCCCCGTTGTACTCTAACCAATACCTAACTTGCATGTAGCCAATCTTACCATTCAATCGACTTCCACCGATGCCGTCCTGGAGACTTTCTTTGTCGGGTGCGCCGCCGCTGGTCCCGCTGGCTGCGCCTTTGCCCCCCTCATCAGCCAGCACGTCCCAGCAAATTTCCGACCGACTAACAGCACTGACCAACGCGATCCGCAAGCGGCCCGTTCCGGTCGTGACGCCTGCGGGCTACGGGCTCGTCGACTACTCCCTTCTCCGAGCGACGATCTTCAACACGCTCTATACGCCTTACGACTCGTTCTCTGTGCTCGCGCAAGCCCTTGCCGACCTCGAGAAGGGGAACGGCGCCCCGCTGTTCGCGATGCTGGCACAGCCGGTATTCCAGTGCGGCGACGATACGAGCGCCGCGGAGTCTGAGACGGGTGTGGACGTGGCTGTACAGTGTGGCGATGCGGTGGAGGTGACGGATACGTTGGAGGAGCTGGAGGCGTTCTACGCGAACGCGGCGAAGGTGTCGCAGTTTTCGGAGTTCTTGATTGGGCAGAGCAGGGTCACATGCAGGTTCGGTGTATCCTCATCTTGATTTGCTAACTTTAATTCATTCAGTGGGTGGAAAGTATATCGAGAAGACCGGTTTAAAGGACCGGCCAGAGCCGCAAATACAAGTTCGCCGATTTTGTTTGTCTCGAACACAGCCGGTATGCAGCCATGAAACAAGATAAGCTATACTGATGCATTTTGAATCTAGATCCAGTAACGCCAAAGGCGGGGTAAGCCTCCTCTTTCCTGATAAATCATTCTTGCCGATCTGCTTAATAGGGCGCTCAAAACACTGGCCAACTTTCCCGGTTCGGCGATACTGACTCAAGACTCGCCTGGAGTAAGCACTCTTCCTTCGAAACCCAACACAACTTGAAAATACTAATAGCATACCTCGCTGACCGCGACGTCCTTTTGCACGCTGGGCTACCTTGCTGCATACATGGTCAACGGTACCCTCCCGCCGCCAGGAACGACGTGTTCCGTAGACGAGACACTCTTTGGAGACAACTCTGATGCGGGGATTGGAGAGAACGCTGTCAGCGGAGGAGCAACAACTCGTGCGGTTGCTACTGCGCAACAGGAAGATCTTCGAAATATAATCAGGGATGCTCGGGAGGCGTTGTGGCCAATGTCCCCTCGCAGGAGGTTCTAGTAATAAGACTACACAATGTCCGTGTAATATGTACATTGTACATGTGCTTCAAGATACTAGTACTTGTACCGAAGTCAGCGCTAGCCTGCTTCAAACATCTTAAGGGCCATAACGCATTCCTGATGATACTTGTCGACGGTCTGCTACGAATTGGCAGAAGATATTCAGTGCTAAGAAAACACCGACAACGCCAATGCTTAAGAAACATTCAGTAAAGCAGAATGAAATCGGAAAGTGGACCCACGTTCAACGTCTCCCCTCGCCTTTCTTTCCACAAACACATCGGCCTTGTCCCAGTATGTTTTCCTCCCTGCAGCTGGGAGCATCGCCCCCTCGAACCACCAGCCATAGTCAACCAGCACGAGACGCCGATCGCGCAGCGGGCTGGTGCTAGGCGGCGAAGGGTATTTGAGCTCGAGAAGCATTGCCAGCGCGCGAACCTCGGTTTCGCCCGGAGAGATGCAGCACAGCACGCGCAGCTGCGGACACGTGCGCCGATTAAGCAGCGCAGTAAGAAGGGCATCTTCGGCAGCCGGGGAGTGGTGGTTGAGCGCCAGATGAGTCAGCGCCGGGAACCCACCAACAAACGCCGCAAGGCGGGTTGTCTGGGTGGGGGCCAGCTCGTCAAGGAGTTCTAAATGTGTCACATGTGGGAGGTGCGGATACGCCTCCGATTCGTCTGGGAACGCGTGGGTGAAGGATAACACCAGTCGCTGGAGCCGTGGGAGCTTCTGAAGTAGGAGAGGAAGCCCCTGTCCATACCCACTTCCAACTGGTGTGATTGCTACGTGCGTCACACGGACACAGCAAGACAGGAAGGAGGCTAAGTCGAGTATGGCGTCGGGCTCGTAGACGATTATTTGGCGCACTGCAGCGATACATGGCGGGGGGCGGGTGTGTTGGAGGTTGTGCAAGACTACCGCGGAGGGTTTGTTGATTTCGATGGATGTATAGAGTAGCGGCTCTATCCTGTGAGCATTGTGAGCAGAGCCCACATAAGAAGGATTGTCCAGACCAGTCGCAAACGTGGTGCGCAACGCGCAGCAAAGCCGGGATGTCCCGACGATTTGCCAGCGCTGCTAGCTCGAATATCTCGCGCTCAAGCTCCAGTGGTAGACGCGGGTTGCCGATTATTGTGCCCTGCCCTGCTGGGCGGAAGAAGGTCTGCACGAAGCTGCCCAGGTACATCATGGTCACAACCAGAGTCAGAAACGGTCAGGTGACGAAACCAAATTTTATCACATCAAACTTTAAATCAGTACAGTATTTCAGGGCGCCGGCGTGCGCGTCGCGTTCAACGACGCCGCGACATCCTCAGTAAACGTCTCCGGCTGATGTGGGTCCCCGCCAACGTTCCACACCTGCATTGCGGGTCAGCTCAGCGTTAAACGGTGATCATAATCAGTGAAGGACTGACGCAGTATATCTTAGCTTGCGCTGAGAACCCATTAGCACCACGAAATGTAAAGCTCCTCGCGCTCACTATCTGTGTGCAGCCCGTGGTAGTCGCCGGGCTGCACGTTGAAGCCCTGGAAAGTCAAGCCGGCGGCCACGGCGGGCGCCCACTTGGCACATGTGTTGCCAAAGCTGGCGGGGTCAGTGAGCTTGCGCAACGTCGGAGGACTTGAGGCCATACTGAACGATGAACGTGACCATGTCCATGTCGGCAGGGAGCGTGTATAACAGGCGAAAGTCGTATGCCTGTACGCTGGCGATGGAGGCGGCGAGGAGAGCGGTATGTGTGAAACCAGGGAGACGCATTGGCAATTGCGATTGGGATTTGTGTTTTTGAGCAATGGAATGCGCGTTTATATGTGCCCCACATTGGCAAAGGTCACCTGCCCGGTGCGGGCACCATATGCCGCGCTGCAGTTCCCAACTGTCCGCGAAAGAATAGTGAGTGCGCAAGCGCGGCAGCGCTTCAGGGCCAGACGCAGGTTTGGTATTCGGGTGGCAGGCGATGGCAGATTCTGGCCCAGGAAGTGATATACGATGAAGTCATGAGCTCCAGTTCTCAGGTACTAGTACTGGTCAAGCAGACGCCTAAGGAAATCAGGCACCGGGAGACTATGAACACAATGAAGGACCAGGAACTTGAAGATGCCACGTAGCGACACTGTGCAGAGGCGTCTGTGCGTCGAGGGGAGAGCGAACGGGACGCGTGCTGAGAGTCGTGGAGGTGGTTTTTCGACAGCAGATCGATCGAAAAACTCACTGGTGACCCGACTGATGGCGCATCTGTCCCAAATTCCTCCTCTCTCCATCGACTGTTACCACGCCTATGATAGTCTCCCGCAAACCCACTGGCAGCTCGCGCCGTGTCAAATATTGCCGAAGATGAGGACCACGATGCGGCCCGGGCGCACCGCCCGAGCAATCCAACTCAAAAACCCCGAAACTCGATCCAAGGCCATTGAGCTTCGACATATGATGCAGGAAAAGGGAGGGTTTGAGTGAGGCGACTTGAGCAATATCTCACGACAGAACACAGGTTTGAGAAGGCCCGGGATACCGCTCGCTTTCTGCAGGCATGTATCTCTTGTTCCTCACGTCGCGCCGTTTTCACTGAAATTAACTATTAGGACTTATGCTAGCCCTTGGTTTCAAGTCGCAACTCGCCTTGTCGTTGTTGGTGTGTTTTAACACTATATTATATGCTTAACTGCTGAGCACAATACAGTGTCTAATAGTACACTCGCATGGCTTTACCCTGAAACGGATGATATATATCCCTCCCATTTCACTGTCCCCAGAAGTCACCTCCAGCGCCCCATCTCGCTCCATGCGTCTTCCAATGCCTGTGCAAGCCTCTCGTCGCGCTCACTCTTCACCACCGTTCCTCCTTGCCGAATCGAATATCGTTCCTCGAACTCCTCATTTCCCAGCGGCAAGTCAGCGCTTACGGACTTTTTTGCTTCTTCCTGAGCAAGGGCACTATGAGTCCCTTCGAATCTGCAAGGGAATGTGTTTGGTGCATCTTCCGCATTCAACCTCTGCGTCAGGAGGGTCGGCAGGCGGCGTTGACCATGCAAGGGCGTTTGCAATGCGTCGTAGCCGGGAGGGAAGGCCCATACATATTCCCCATACCACGGACCATGTAGTTCGGTGAAAGCGACGCCGAATGCATCCAATCTCAGGACAAATTCGGGTGAGGCCAGAGGATATACGGGTCCGAGTGGTGGGTAATCCGGGACGTGAGGAGGTATAGCCTCCAGCTCCATGTGCTGAGGGTTCTAGCGGGGAGGACGTTCGGAGGTGCGAATGCTCTCTCTTGCCAGACAAACTCAGCAGGGAATTTCGATTCAGCAATGGGGGCAGAGACAAAATCCAAGGCGGGGGTGGCTTTGGAATAACTTGAAGTCGCTGCAGCTGTTTCAAGCTTGCCACTCTCCACCGGCAGGTCCGATTCGTCTGGATCAAACATCCAGCTTGGGATAAACGCGCGCCCGGCGTCTAAATCGTCCATCGTGACCTGTGGTTCATTTGCCGGTGGGGATGGGCACTAGACAGCAAACTGAGACGATCGGCCATCGAAATGAAGCAGCACACGCACCAGCCAAGTATCAGGGCGCCCGACGTATAACCCCTGCGAAAAAGCACCTTTGTGGAGGATTCCCGTGGAGCCGGGACGATGCACTAGCGGCGGCGCGTTCGGAGGCCAACGCTGTTTGGATGTCAGTTCCAACCAAGAAACCGCAAAGTATCACCTACTATGAGGCTGATAAGGTTCTCCATATGGGGATTCATAACCTGAGCACGGTGGCAAGACGAAAAGAGGGTAGTTGGAAGAGGTGTCTGGTTACCACCCTCTTATAGCTCGTCTTCACAGACCTGCACAATGCGTCGATACCCGGCCACGAGGGAAAATTGCGACAAAGCTCTCTGGCACGCGCTTGGTCCGGTGCGATTGCGATGTCGGTTCCGCATAGTAGCTAAGTTCTGCGAACTTCTATCCAATTCTCTATGGTTAAAATGATATGTAGTCTATTTACTGAATGCTATCTAAAACGATTTGGATTGACTAGAAATGTCAGAGAACTTGCAACACGGATCGCAGGCCGAAAACTCACTGGTTCCGGTGGCCCGCGCGCGTTCATCCAGAACATCTAAATATTCACATAATATTCCCGCCTTTGTGCAGCGCTGGCAAGATGCGTCTCCGGACTTCTTGCTCTCGGCGGGTGTGCACTATTAAAGGTGCGTAAGCTACCAGTCTTGCTCAAAGAAACTTGGAGATCAAACCTTCACATGACGCCGACGACATTCGACGCATGCCATGTAAGCTCTTTCCGGCTGACAGTGGTGCGCTGTGCCGTTTTGGACCTGGGCTTCAAGCTGGGATTGGTGCGACATTCCGGTCCGCGCTCGATTGAGCTATTGGGAGATGACTCAAGTGCAGAACCCTCATTGACCACACAACATTTATGGGCTCCAACCTGGTCATGGTAAGCAACTCAAGCTCGCCAGGCAGTAGTGAGACACTTGGTCTCCTGCACGACCTTGACGGCGCATATACTTACTTCAAACCTCAGGCTTACTACCCACTAAATTGCGTATTTGCTTCTCAATGTGGGAAGATATTAACATCGGGGCAGGGCCAAGCAGCACTAGCAGATGCGACTCGTCCGATCGCGGGCCATGACCGTTGATATAATATTTGTCACAAAGTCGACGAAATTTAAACGTTGGCCCTTCCAGTTCCGGTTCAAATTGGCATGCACGAATGAGCAACTTGAAATCAATCCATCATGTGAATGGCGACCAGCGCAGCCGGACGCGATCTCTTTCCTTTGCGAGCCGAATCCCGCGAGCTTACTTTTCCTCAAACGTGTGCGTGGCTGGGACACCGTGGATGAAACTGTTTCCAAGCTCCAACTTCAAGTTGTCATTTGCTATAACAACGAGAATCAGGAACGTCCGAGTACATGGACGCAACAACATCTCACGATGCTGCGCGATCGTCGCCTGCCAGTGGGATGACAGGAGCCTTGGAGTTGGAGGAGCTTCGAAATATTGTCATCTCTCACCATCCAGTGGCATTCACAAACCATGCGACAACTTGGAGATGAACCATTGAGTCGGATTGACAACACGTCGGCGAAAGGGTTCCCGGAGATTGTCGAGTTTCTGGGGATCCTGGCCGGAAATCACTGAGTAGATAGATGATTTGCATCCACTCGCAGCAATCTAATCAATTTCGGCTTGATTAGGCTTGATCCTTCCGGATCTGTGACTTGCCGTCACAGCACCATGTTTCCGAGTTTCTCTCTCATCCAGAACGGGTTCGTCCAATATCGACTCAGAGCTCTGCCTCAGGAGTCTGAACTCCGTAGATTCATCAAGAGTCGACCTTCCATTCCAGAGCTGCCTAAGACTGGCCTCGCGGCAGCGCCTATCATCATGCCAACAACTTAAGTAACAGCGTTTATATTCAATGAGGCATTCTTGTTGTTCTCCACTCCCTCTCTCTTCTCATTCCTCACTTACATGTCCACAGAAGACCAGCTTTCAACTCCACCGCCCTTTGACGGCGCCACAACACTGGACTTACAAGCCTCTGTCGCCAGCAAGATTGCATCAGTCAGCCTCTATTCGTCGCGAGCGGAAATAACACGCGTCTTCCGGCTTGCGGTCAAAACAGGCCTGAATCAAGTCAACATCTCGGGCTTGCCAACTGTTCTCGAGCCGGAGTCACTCAGGTGTGTCCTTGATGTTCCTAAAGGATACCCAAGTATTCTGAAACCTCTTGAAAGAATTGAGGGCCAAGGCTCAGTTGTCATACAAGATGTGTCCATTACCACTGCGAAGCAAGAACGCCAACAACGCCGCGATGGCTCACGTAGTACCTCGGCCGCCCCTACTCCGGAGCTCGAGGCGCTTTTTGCGAAACTTGCATTGGCAGAGCAGGCGCGCCAGCGTGTGAAGACATCCATGACCGCAGTCCTGAACTATATCAACACCCTCAATGTCAAGGATATCGGTGCATCGAAACTATCCGAGGTGGTTGGGGAATACGATAAGACGACCGAAAAGCTGGAAGCCCGAAAGACAGAGCTGGAGTCGCAGATTCAAGTGCTCGATGCCGAAATCCTCCACGAGACCGAGAAGGTTGACCTTGCCAATAAAGGCAAAGGTGTGGAAGCGCAGCTACAAAAGCGGGTTTCTCTCGGCGTCTTTGCGGAGAGTGAGGGCGAGGTCGAAATTTCTCTGATCTACGGTGAGTGGGCATCAGAGTCATTAGAAGGGGGTGAAACTGACCGTATCCATTTAGCCGTACCACGCGCAACTTGGAAGGCCATATATGATCTCCGTGTTGATATGTCTGCAAAGGAGCAAGCAATGACACTTGTCTACAAAGCGGAGGTCCAGCAAGACACGGGAGAGGTAAACTCGCTGACCATACCGTTGCAAACATGCCTCTGATACGATCCACAAGTCCTGGAACGACGCTCTTCTGACTTTGGAGACTACTACACCTACATTTGGAGTCAATATTCCGGAACTTGGACCTTGGCACCTACAGGTTCATCATCCACGGCCTCCATATCAGCCTACACCCATAGTACCAGCAAGCTATGCTGGTATTCCGGTCATGTTCCAACGAGCACCGGCACCCGTCATAATCCAAGCAGATCGCTCGCGCGAATACTCGCGCTCCAGGTCTCGATCTAGTAGTCCCCTTTCTCGTCGGCGTCGGCGGTCGCGGTCGCGGTCGCCACAAGCCATCCGATTTCCTACGGCCCAGGTAACGTCCAAAGGGAACGTGAGCGCGACTTTTCGAGTTCCGGGCACTGTCACCATTCCTAGCGATGGCGAGCTTCATAGCTTTACGATTGTTAAGCTGGCCTTGGAGGCGGAATTGGAATGGGTATGTGTTCCGAAAGTGGATACCCGGGCCCATATTACTGTGCGTTCTACTCCCTGCCCTCGAGATCAGTACTGAATCAATATTGAAGGCAAAGATTGTTAACAACTCTGAGTATATGCTGCTTGACGGAATGGCGAACATGTATCTGGACGGCAGTTTCGTCGCCCGATCTCGGATTCCCTCCGTCAGCCCTCAAGAAACCTTCAAGTGTCCCCTTGGGTGGGTTTGGTTCATCAACCGTTTCCACCACTGACGCAGGCGGTTGTAGTGTCGATGCTTCCTTACGTATAACCTACCACCCAGTCCTCAAGAAAAAATCGCAATCTGGATTCTACACCAAATCCGCGAACCACGTTTTCACTCAGCGAATCTCGGTCCATAATACCAAACGCGCGATTATTCCACGACTCAAAATCATCGACCAGATTCCCACATCAAGAGATTCTCGAATCGAAGTCAAGTTGGTGAACCCCGCGCTCAAGGTCCCTGAAATACAACAGACCGCACCCACGAATACTGCTTCGACTGACAAACGTAGCAGTGGGAGTAGCAGCACTCTTCTCGGGAGTGTCGCAGGGAAATCGAAGGCGATTGCCGGCATCTCGATCCCTGGCAGTAGCAACTCCAACTCGGTGCCAACCAAGCTACAGCGAATAGAAGTCACCCGTGGTATTGTGGCACAATGGGATGGCGCGGATGATCCCGAGCGGGTTGCGGCCGGAGAGACGTTGGGTCTAGATCGCAAGCTGAATTGGATCTGTTCTGTCCCACCCCAAGAGAAGATTAACTTGCAGTTGGATTGGGAGGTGGTGTCTCCGGCAGATGTCGAAGTGATGGGGTTATGAAAGCACGGAAATGAGTCGGTACAATGTATCCCGCAAACTGCGGGTTACAGTAAACGCGTACCAGGTGGCTAATTTTGAAGATAACGAGCGGGAGAAGTTGTGCGTCATCCATAACGTAGATCATCAGAATCCAAACTCGGAAATTGCACGTGGGCTGTCAGACTCGTTCGACTCCGACAACCGACTGATTGTATTTTCCCTGCCTAATGACCGCCGTGCGCCAAGGCCAGCGTATGGCTTATTCGTCAGCTCAATAATTCTCGTGAACGAATCAACGAGGCATCGAAGGCGGATAGACGGAATTGAATGCACAGCCATCGGTTGACTAGGATCATCACATCTGTCAAAACGTGACGCCGCGCGCGCGTGAGGGACCAGTGAAAAGTGAATGGTGGTACAAAAGTAGACCTCGGGAGAGTGGGTTCCTAGCCAACCACCAAAGCGCAGCTTTGGCCACGTACCCCTTCGGTTTTCGTAGCTCCCGACAATTCCTCAGTGTTAGAAGGGCGTCACCTCAATCACGTCCGTGTCAAGTCACAAAAAAGTCTACCACTCTCTCTCCACCTCCCGTCACCTATCTTGTCCAAAAATTGCCGCTGGGGTTAGTCTTGCTTATATACGGACCACCACAATGCTGCAAGCGCCGAACAACGAGCTATCCTTGCCTCCCCTCCCACTCTCGCTACCTGTCGTTGTGAAGAGAGAAGAAGACGACCGATTGGGTGCCGAACAAAACTTGTCTTCGATTTCAATGCCGCCACCGCCAGCCCCGACCCTGTTCGCGCCACGGGAGGAGATGCCGCCGTCATTGCCCTCGATGCCCATCCTGAGAGGCTACTGGAATGACTCGCATGGTGCGTTCTTTTGTCCGCCTTGCACAATGACATCTGACCAGTGCTATTGTAGAGCGGTCACCGTACGGTAGAATGGACGGGATGCCCGCTTCTCCCGTGGCGGGCCTTGTTGGGTTACCGAACGGCCACGGCAACGGGCGGTATTCTCCTCCCAGTGGCCACCATCGCGCTCCCATTGGCAACCCCAGACCCCATTCAAACTCGGCAGCTGCCACCTCCTCCCCAAACGTTGATTTTTCTGGTCTTCTTACGATGCACGACCTGACGTCAGCCTCGGGCACTACTCCCGCTCATGGGAATCCCTCATCGTCGTCTGCCGGCCGGCATTTCCGCCCTTCAGACGATTGGCTCACGAATGGTGGCCCCCACGGGTCGCATGGCTGGCCGGGACCAAACCCTAGTTTATACGATGACAAGTGGTCGCGTTATGAACGCTCTTCTTCTTCGACGACAACGCCCTCCGATTCTGCCTCGCCATCCTCCTACTTCATGTCGCCTATGAATGGAACTCCGACCCTGCCCCCAATGATCATGCCCCCTCATCCAAATCCTCCTGCTCCCCGTCGCCAGAGCCAGAATGGCCAGACAAAAAAAGAGTGTTTCCATTGTCACGCGACCTCGACTCCCCTCTGGCGACGAGAGCCACAAACTCAGCGACCGCTATGTAATGCGTGTGGTCTCTACCTCCAGCAACGAAACAAGCTTCGCCCTCAAGAACTTATTGACGCTGACAGAGACGACTATGAAGATAATCCCGTTAACCGCATCCCAGATGAGGAATATACGGGGCCCAAATGCAGTCATTGTGGCACTAGACAGACGAGTGTTTGGAGGCGGAGTAAAACAGGACAGCAGGTTTGCAATGCCTGTGGAGTGTACCAACGTCTCAAGGCGAGCACCCTTTGCTTTCTGGTGCTCTTTTCGTTAGTTTCTGATCTGGAAAACAGGGCAAGGAGCGGCCGCTTAGCCTGCGGAGGAACAAGGTCCGGCCGAGAACCAAGCACACTACGCCTAGTTCATGAGATTGAGAGGTGTGTAGGTAGAAATATATACTTAATTATCGTTTTCGTGTTTGCAGTCTCTTCGCTCTGATATTCATCTTGTTAACTAGCATCTTGGACCCACATCCTTGAAGAGATCGTCAGTGAACGTCCTCCGAGTCGGAGGTTTCTTTTTCCTTTCGTCCCCCCACTCAGGGTCGGTCTGCTGCGGATGCTATACCTGGCCCAGTATAGTCTCATCCATTCATGCATTCATTCAGGCCCATCTTCTCACATTACCGCCGTCAGTGCAAGTATCACGCGTCCCGCCACGGCCGTCAGCGCCAAATGACGCCAGAAGCTCTAACCTGAAAGACAGCAAGGACAATCTGCCAAATGCGAATCCCGAGTCCCGCGGCTTCGAACTCGGACGGTAAAAATCTCCGTGGCTTCCATCTACCAAATATAGGTTCCGCTGGTTGCACTCGACGCGATGGCGCGTTTATCTGAGTAGCTGAGCCTGTGCGCGACCGAGTTATGATTAGCATGGGCGCTGTTAAGCTTGCAACGTCAATATTAATGGCAGCACAACTTGAAATTCTTGAAACTGGCATGAAGAGTCACTCGTCAGAACTGACGGAAACACAGGAATCCAGACCCCGGTCCGCTGAGTCAATCCAACCCGAAGGCTGGCCGACCTACTGTACTCGCGGAGCTAACTGTCCGCACCGAGTATTAATAGGAAAGTGCATTGACTCCTGTTCCATACTTCTGAATCGTCCGCCTCGAATGGATCTTTGGAGTTTGACAATCGATAGAAGTTGAACTGGTTGACCTCTGACGGCAACAAGTATTCTTGAAGCTACTACTGGGCGCCCAAGGGCAATGCCGACTCCACTGTCTCTTCTGAAGCCAGTAGTTGTGTCGCTCGTTTCGTCCCAGCGTCCGGCGCCACCGCTTGCAACAGCGTGTGGCAGACTGGGATCCGTATTGATTCTCTCCCTTTACCCATTACATAGCTGAATACTTGAAACCTTGTAAGTCTGTTTCGCCGCCTGATTGCACATGGGCTCAGACTCTGCCTCGCAACCATTGAACCATGCCAGGGTATCAGCATAGTTGGCATGACATAACCTCCCGCGCTGGACAATATCATCCCGAGATGAAACCACAACACCGCGTTTAAGTCACCGGCCCGAGGAATTCTCCAGCTTCAGGTGGGAAAACTTTACAGCCAAATCATAGACATAACTGTAACCCATATTCGGTTTCCGTAGCCAAGGTTGCATAATTGTACATATGAATGTTAATCTGGTCTCATAAGGGGAACGGAGCCAACGACCACAGAGAAGAAACGAGTGGTGAAAAGAACAAGACCACCGTCCTTGGTAGGTCATAAGTGGAAGCACATAACAAGCAGAACCTCCTTTCCCGAGCCATCAGGCTCCGCGAAACCCTCCATCGCCGCCACCGATGCCGACACCGCGGCCAGCAATCAGTGTTCGATATAGCGCATTCGCCTCTTCGAATCGCGCATGAACAAGACTGAAGTGGGTCATCGCCGCAGTCTCGACATCGTTGGTAACATCGACAAGGTTGAGCTTGCAGAGAGAGTGATAGAACCGGCAGAGCTGGACGAGCAATCAGTTGACAAGAACAACAGGATGGGAATACACACATGCTGAACGCCTTGAGCGAACAAGTCGATGCTGACCCTGCCTTCCCTCTCCGCGCGCTCTGCCATCTCGAGGGTGTTGATGCTCTGAGCTATGAACACCCCAAGCACTTCGGTCGTCACCAAGGCACCGACAGTGAAAAACGCTGGGCCAGGGCCATCAGCACTGAGAGGAGTTTCGTCCCGAAGGAGTCGACCAAACAAATCAAAAGTGGGTAATGTCGGTGGGAGGTCACATAGGGCAGTCAATGCAGCATGAGTTCCGGAAGCCGGACCGGAGAGAAAAGCTGCGAATAGTGGCGCAGCTATATTGGGATTGTGGGCGGACAAGGAGGCAAGGTCGGATTGTGTGATGAGCGGGGTTGCGACGAGGGTGGTGAGGTGGGGGACGAGTTGCTAGGAGTGGTCAGATTTGACGAGGGGTGTTATCAGACGATCGCATACTCGTTGTTCAGAGAGAGTAAGTACACGATTACGTGCTGCGAGTAAAAGTCGCATGGCCTGGGCTATTGCCGCATTTTCAGCGTCCTTTTCGGTCGAGATGAAGGGTGCTGGTGTTCCTGGGATTGGCGTCATTCGGTGCATTTGAGTGTCGTACAAGTTATCTCTGTTCGTCCAGATCAGCAAGAGCGAATGAGAACAACAAACACGCAACATGTCATTGGTAGAATACAGGCTTTCGTCCAGAATTAAGTTACTTGCCCGGAGGTCGGGAGGGAGAAGAGAGTGAGCTAGAGCACTCGGAGAGTAAGGGCCGATCTATAACTCGGTCAGATATCATACTTGAGTGTCGAATTACGCACATCATCGCCGTCGCCTTTCAAAATCTTCCAAAGAACCCATACGAGGGGCTCATTGTCGGCCACAGAGCCAGTGTTGGATTGGACAAGAGACTTGTCTCGCTCGACAACAAAGGTTGCGATGAGGGCAGACTTGAAGGGATTGATTGCGATTGGATGTGGCGCGTAAAGCGCGAAGAGGATGAACGAGACTAGAATCCTGTCAGAGACCTATATGAGCTGTTGAGAGCTGTAGAAAGCAGTATGAGAGAGCCAAACCTCGCCCTTCTGAGTGTCGAGAATGGGGAGCAAGGCATCGAGTGCGAGTTGGAAAGTGGATGAAGTGTTCTGGGCGAGACGAGAAAAGGCGGCGGGTGCCGCAGAGCAGGGATAGGTACTCGCCCTAGTGATGAGGTGAGCAACCGCACCCCGCGCGTCGTTACCCGCAGGCGCCCCGACCGACGGTGAGGTCGACATGGTGGCAGCGGCCATACGCGAGACCGGCTGACGCGTCACAAATTGATTGATAGTCACCGCCACTGTCACGGCTCACACCTTTTTCTCGTTCAGTCAACTTGGCAAACAACTTGGTTCAAAACACAGAGCAATAAGAATAAGTTACGGAATATGTGAGTATATTTATTTGCTACGAATATGAACGTGGCAGCTCGGACAGACGACGACACCACTTTCCGCCATAGGAACCGGCTCATCTCCCCGCAAAGCGTCTTCGATAAGGTCCAACACGTCAGCCGCGCAACCAAATGACAAACTCCAACCCGATCCTCCGTGCCCGTAGTTGTGCACTATCCTGCTGGACTTGTCTGCTCCCGGTCGGCGGCGTATCTCCCGCTCAACCCGAACATTTTTACCGCGGCATGGTCGCAAACCTTGCGCTAAGGGGTAATCCTCGTCGAGCCGGGCATTTTTAAGGGCGGGCAGGAACTTTTCTGCGCGCTGTCGCATGCGAACGATTGCTGGGTCGTCGAGGGTCATGTCAAGGGTGCCCTTGTGGGGTTGCGCAACACCGCCGATGAGGAGAATGTTGTCGTTGCGAGGAACAAGGAAAATGATCTCTCCGTCGAGAGCAGCATCAGCAGAAATAGTCAGAGCAGCCTCGACCTTGGGGAAATCTTGGCCGTCGTTAATCACGCGGATCAATGCTCCACGTAGAGGATAGCATGTTTTGTCTCCAGCAACGGTGCTTCCGCTCAGGCCAGTCGCGTTGACAATCGCATCCGCCCCGAACCGCTCCAATAAACCCTCCTCCAAATCCAGTAAATCATCCGCAATGTTCTCTGTCACTGTCGAAGCGCCCTTCCCGAGTACCAGGCTTGTCAGCCATAGCATGGCCTGGTCAGTGTCGATGATTGGCGACAACACCTCATACGCGTCTCCGACCTGATAGCTCTTTTCCACATCCCGCTCGCCAACAAGTCCGGTTCCAACATGTCGGAAGCCACGAACTCCGCTGTCTCTGATCTCCTCCATCTTAGAGAGTTGGGTCGGATCTGATGCAAGCGGCACGGGGAAGAAAAAAATCGGCCGGGACCATTCGGACTCCAGCGGCTTGGCCGACAATCGGGTCGGCGGCAATTTTGTCCCAAGCGTGATATGCCGTCATGCACCAACGTTTCGAGTGCGCCAAAGAAACTGTGTCCGTATGCGATCCGCAAACCGCTGGAGGGTACTCCCATAACGCCCCCGCAATTTGCGAAGTCAGGCGCTGTTTTCCGAAATTGGCAAAGCCATTTGAGAGGATCGTAACCTTGAGGTTTGTTTCAGTTGATGATGAACACCGTTAAATTCCGTCATACAGACACACCTTGTATCCTCGATCGAGCAAAACCCATGCAGTGACAAGTCCAGTGACGCCTGCGCCAACGATGAGGACGTGTGGTGAGTTGGGAGTCGATTTAACGAGGCGTTCAGGGTATGGAGTAAGGTCTCTCCCCATAACAAGTTTGTCTACGGCATCGCGAGTTGCTACCATGATGATGGTGGAAGAGAGATGGCGTTGGGGTGTGTAAGTTGGTTGCGGGGCGGGGTCGCTCGGTGAGACTCTGCTCTATTTTCACCCTCGCTCTCAACTCTCTGCTTTTAAAGCAGATCCTGGCCGGCGCTTCCGTGGATCCAGGCAAAGTACGCACATGACGAGATTATGTATCCCCGGGAGGCACATGATTTTATTGGTAAGTAAAAACCAACAAACATATTGATTTCTCAAAATCGGGAACAAGGAACGACGGCGACAGGGCGACGGACTGACCCACGTCGCATGGGGAAGAAAGATGCGATGGAGATGCACGACCGGGTGCGGGCCAGACTAGTTGTGTGTGTAGGTATCTGTCCACCCCATTCATTCCTTTCTATTCCATTGTCACAAGTTCATTGAATACAGCTGCCAGCGACCTCACGTCGAAGATCGAGAATAGGTCAGAGTTATTCAGCACTCATTCAAAAACAAGCAGAGTTCGATGTGGGGTGGGTATTTGTTGGTACGGAATTCTTTACCGTTTTGGCGTTGTTGTAGCTTAATGTAGGCATGGTCTCAAGATGCCACTAGGAATCGCATCTTGAAGATCTCCAGCTTGTCGTAAGTTTAACCAAGATTGCCGAACAATCACAGAGAGATTTATCCAAGACGGCCGCGGTATGCTCAAGTATTGTGCATGGGAAGAATGGAGCGTTGCGCGCGGAAGTGCACTCAATTTACCCGGGACCAACGGAAACTTTTAGCTACCCATGCACTCCTACCGATGGGTATGGACTAGCCAAATACGTTTTAAGAGACCCAAGCTATCAGGGCCAAGACCCGAGAAGAATCATAAGTCGCAGTGATCGCGTTCCGTGGACACCGTGAAAACTTTGCGCTCAGAATTGCTCGCAGCGCTTCAGGTACATGTCAGTTATCATGAACATCTAGACATCCGATCATTGTTCAATTCAACAAACTGTTTCCGTTTCAACAGCCGTCTGTGTTGTTCCGGCGAAGCTCAATCCATTTATTGACGTGCCATTGACAGTGAAACTGCGATTAGATTCAAGTTGGACAAGATTAGATTAGATATAGATTTTCTAAGTCCTTCAGTCGCACTGGCAGTAAGTCGTGTGAAGCCCAATTTTGGCCATGGATACGGTATCTGGGGAGGCCTGGACTGGTGGCTTTCTCGTTTCATCCGAGAAAATTCTGTAGTAAACACATGAGGAGGCGGGCACTCAAATCGCGACCCATCATCTACACTGACCACATGTCTCAGCGCTGCCTCGGAATATTTATTCCCTCAATCACGCAAGTAGTGCATTAGATGGTCGGTCATTTCAAAAGTGATTTTTCCGCCAATGCTGCTATCACCGCCGATACAGACGCGTCAAGCATGGCCCTCCCAAAAAAAACAAAAGCAAATCACATCTGTCTGAAGCCACCCGAAAATCACTTTGTTCATCAGCGGCTCTGCGCGGCGAGATCTCGGCCTTGTACGGCGTTCTCGAAGGGACCGAAACGGATTCCGATACTTGTTGGAGAATATCTCGGCATTTGTTTCCTGCCCGAGATCAACAACCCATAAGAACCGATTGCGATCGAGGACTCACGACAACGCACCTATGAATTCTGCGGCAACAGGCGAATGCCGTTTCCTCACTGATCTTCAGCGATGAGATCAATGATGCTGATGAAACGTCAAGGCAATGTGGAGATATTCGGGGTCGGAGCTCGCAGGTAAACACCGCCGACGTGGCGAATATCAAGAGCGTCCCGGCGGTGATTGCCCTGTCACGTTCGGCGTCAGCCTTGAACCTGGTCCTAATTCAGGCCTGGGCATGGTCCACCCCTGTCTCTTGTCTGCAGTGCCCAAGAAGATGATGTCAAATGTACAGCCTGACGCAAGTCGCAAGGAGAATTGCGCGCGCGATGCAGATGGTGACGGCAGAAGACCAAGAGGCCAATTGAAAGTGAGCACTCAGCAGTTCAGAGCATCAGCAGTGATTCACTGTTGAAACCCAGCGCTCCACTAGGATTAGAAAATGACACGGCGGAGTTTAGTGTTAGTTAGCCTGAAACGACGCGTTGACATTCACGTGACCGTGTACCTAATCTTATCTAGTTATCAGAGCAGTCAGGTGTATCACGATGATTGTCTGATTCGTACAAGATAAAGTCTATTTAATTGCGATCATTGAAGTGCTATCCATCCAAGTTCATATCGTCAGTTGACATTGAAACCAACTGGAATTATAATATCTGGGATATTTGGTTGTCCATAAAATACCAATAATAATACTAATAAGCGGACTCGAATCCGAGTCATCGTTGAGTTCACCGCTTTCGTGAGCTACCTCCCATTCAACTTGAAGTTGGCGGAGGCATTAGTCCACGACTAGCGCTCCAAAACCATCCGGTACTTGGATTTCTCCAAACTCCAGGAAAATTTGAATGCCTCTCAGTGAACCCAGAGGGGACCACAACAGGCTGGGTGGAGAGGGTGTTGTAGTAGGATACGGCGTTGGGGGCTGAGTGTGGATTGCCGTACACGCTCGTGTTTGGTCCCGATGTTGCGTAGAGCGTGGTGAACGTTCCTGGTGCCGCAGGCGCGTCGTGATAACTAGACGGCGCGGGGCTCGAGGTTCCTGACAATGGAGGAGCAACTGGATCGCTACTAAGCTGTCGCCATCGAAGGTAATTTTGACGATGAGTCCAATAACTTTGCAGGTTAGCCGCTGCAATGGGATTGATGCTAAACGATGTGTCCCTGTGCGCTAATTGAAAGAAGTCAGTCATTGTAGGTAGGTGTACATGGTCTCGACTCGACTCGACTCGAATACTTACGGTGCATTAGTCTGGAGTCGTTGAGAATCATCTTTGTCATGCCTGGCTTGCCGACCCATATCCAGCCGTCGGAAACCCTCCAGGTGATGGCTGGCGGAGAATCGAGCCGAACCCACTTGCGCGTATCCCTTGGCTACGGGCGAGTGAGTCAGGCGAGAACAGGGAGTACAAACTGACCGTGGATGCGTTCATTCGAGCGACTTGCAACATGCCTTGTTCGTGATCGACAGCGACGACGAGACAAGGCTTCGGCGCGCGCGCTGTTCGACGGTCGTACTCCTCTCCAGTGGGTAATGTTGAGATTTCCGCATCGTAGCTGGACGGATCGCACCAGACGATCAGACCAGCATAGAACTGTGTGTAGCTAGTAAATGGTGGAAACATGGGCCTGAAGAAGTGGAGGATTTGCATGACTCTTTATACGATAACGTAGACGCTCGACAGCGACTCTGAGTCACTTGAAAATCTCTTGATGGCGAACGTACGCGTGTGCCATTGAAAGCCGGTCTTCGAGACGTGGGACAAGAGTCATTGAAGTTATGGATGCTACGAGTACCAGTGGGCGGGAACTGTCGGTGTTTTATATTGACGCAACGGGACCGTCTAGCAAAAAGCTGTAAAGAAGGCTGGCAAGATGTACATCCTCCTCCATAAAAGGCAAGCGGGTCCCAAAAATAACGGATTCGTCTGAGTCATACCTCTTCGGCAGGCTTCGGATCAGCAGAACTTTGTGAGGAAATGACCTTGTTCTCGAGTGCGAACGGGCGGCAGTGCTGCATTTGAGTCAGGGAATAAAGCATTAGACCGCAGTCTATGATGATGGGAGTCGAGCGCAAAGAGTGTCACACAGTGACTACTTTCTAATCAACCAATGATCAGCAATCAAAAGTGCTTTCTCGGCCGGGCTAGGCTTTCTTGAAATCTAAAAACGCTACTTTCAAGAAGTTTTCTCGCTGCCTGCAAGCGGTAATGCAACAGGAAGATAAACCCGATTTTCAAATGGGATTATTACAACCACAACTTTTTCGTCGCAGAGCATACAGTACAAGTACTTATGTCACAAATATAAAAGTACACAAATCTCATAGAAGTCGTGGTTGTGGCGTTAGGAAACTTGCATGGTGATGGCTTGTTTGTGTCAAGAGTCGAAGACTTGAAACAAGCCACAAAACTTTGATCAAGGGCGTCGATCATCTTGTCTTATCTTGTCGCCGATCAACCACGTGTCGTCCATGTGGAATATTTTCTCATTGCAAACGATGACGACGGGTCGGTTCGACCGTTGTCCGGGTCCCGTACTCATCCCTTGTCGTCTACCACCATGAATAGCTGTAACCCACTCGACGCTCCCCCCCAGCCCACCCTTCGGGTTCGAGATTTGTGGTTCCCTGATGCTACATTGGTCTTCCAAGCCGAGAACACCCAATACCGGGTCTATGCTGGTCTGCTTGCCGCCAGAAGCTCGGTCTTCGCCGACATGCTCTCATTTCCGCAGCCTACCGACACGATGGAGGACGATAGAGTGGACGGTTGTCCCCGCATCATTCTTCAAGATTCAGCCCACGACGTGACATGTTTTTTCCGCGCTATCTTCGACTCTAGGTGCGTCGCTGAGCCGTCTGTTTCCCTCTACTTAAGCCGTCGTTCCAGCTTCTTCGTGCCCTCGTTCAGCTCACCACCGCCCTTGGCTACTCTTGCGGCCATTCTCCGTCTCTCGCAGAAATACGATGTTGAGTATCTCCGCCAACGCTGCCTGGCTCATCTTTCGTCGCTTTACCCCACTTCGCTGGACGCGTGGGACTCTCTCAACTACGCCAAACACATTCTTGGCCTCCATTGCCGCCAATCACCCCCAACTGGGACCTACCCGATTCTCCCCGTCCTCGAGTTAGCGAAGGAGGCCATGGCCCCATGGATAGCCCCCGCCATAATGTATCTCGGTCTTTGCGCTGGGGTGGAGGGTATCTTGGACGGGACCGCATTAAACTGCCATCCTGGTCTCCAGTCTGGAATGTCCCCAGTGCCGGCGTCCGCGATCACGTTGACAACGGAGCAGCGGATGCTTATCGTCGCCTATCCTGCTCTTCTCTCAGCGACAGCCGAGAGCGTCTCGTTTCTCCTCTCCCCCCCCCCCAGCCACATGTGCTTCGCCGACAAAGTGTACCAACGAGTGCTTGTCACTGAAACGTTGGGTAGACTCCTCTTGGTCTGCTTGCCATTTCCCGCTGGAAATATGGGAGGAGCAGGACTGGGATGCCGTCCGAGAAGACGTCTGCGATGTTTGTGTCAAGCAGGCAAGGAGGCTTCACGCAGAATCGCGAGAGAAATTTTGGGACGCCTTGCCCAAGCTGGTTGGCGTGGGTCACTCGTGGAGCGAGCTGGAAAAGCTGAAAGAGACGGCGTTCAGCTAGAAGGTGCTCTTATTTCGATTCTGTATCATGTTCGTTGTCTCGTCCCCGTTTCTAATAATAGCAAGGCTGCATTCATCAGCAGACATACTGTGGTTCCCAGTGATTGGGTAATTTCCCGATGACTGGGTAATCGCAACTTTCCTCCATCCCGTCTCATATTTTGACTCCGGTATCATCCGGATTTCACTCACACTACTCTCATATGTATATGTACTCAAAATTGGAATATTCTGTTCAGAGACGATGGAAAATCTTGGCTACCGGCACATCAAGTTGGGTAATCTCAGGTATGGTTGGCCGTTTTCCATCGTTTATGACCTCGGTCGAGCCCGAAAAAGGCTGGGGCATTTCAAGAAACATTACCCAAGTATACCTACATCTTCAGATTTTGTTCCCGGGGAAAAATGAAGGAGCATCCAGCGGATTTGCGAAAAGGTCACAATCCGTCACATTTTGCCGTTGATGGCCTTTGCGGGACGGTGATTTGCACTCGGCATCCAACAAATGGCTGATTATAGGATTATATACTGAACAAAAGGGAGTGTATGTACATTAGACTGTGTTGTAGCTATGAGCGAAGTAATTTGCATTATAATACTGTGTCTGATTAGTGTTATCGAACAACTCGGAAGCACCATACGTGGCATCAAATTGGGATGGGTAGCCAAAGTCGTGGTTGTGGGAGGGGTATGTTGGGGCATTTATATGAGGTATGGGCGGAAAATTAGGCAGGTATAGATCTTGTTGAGCGGGCAATGGGTGGTTGGTGTGACCGACAAGCTGTGACCAAGAAGTCAGGCACAATGACGATGAACACTTGCGAAACTCACTTGATTCTCCAATCCTGGAGCAAGACGCGAAGGCCCTGCTATAGCATTAGTGCTTGGCGCAAGGACAGCAGCTGCACGGCGCCCTCGTCCACCAAATAAGCCCGAGTATCGCACATTTTCTTTTTGTCCTTCGTCCCAGCTTCTGTCGCAAAATGGGCCGTAATTGAGTCCAAGAGTACTTCCTTGGTCGCTTTAGTGTCGACTTTGAGCTTCAGTGCATGCACCAAATCCCATAGATCGTCCTTGTTCTTAGAATTGAGTGAGCCAGTGAATGGAGCGTCCGGATTCTGTGCACGACGTTGGTCCCGTTCCTTCTGCTTTTCCGCACGGAGACGAGCGGTTTCAGCCTTCTTCTGTCTCTTTTCCTCTCGTGAATCCTCCTCTGCTTGCGCCAATGCACGACCTTCGGCTGATGTCAGAACTCTCGCTCCGGTTTTGATTCGTCGGGCGTTTGTTTGGGCGGGTTGCAGTATTGATTTTCCGTTGGTAAGTAAAGAGTTGGTCTTCTAACAGCCGCATATGGCTGCAGACAGTTTGTAGCTGAGCTTCGAGCCGGTTGATCTGGCTGTAAACACGTGGATCATAATAGAATTGTTGTGCGCTACCGGTGGCGGGTGATGTTTGGAGGCCTAGCTCAGACACCGGAGTGGAGGCGGGAAGAGACGCTACAGCAGGAGTTGATGCACAAGACGATGCACATATGATGCGGTTGCTTGCGCGCGTTGGCAGAGGTCTGATAGGCCGAACGGTAAGCTCCCCTTGGTCACTTGCGTCAGCATCCGACTGTGTGTCCGAATCATCTGGATTGCTGTCGTCATCGTCGTCATCTGAACTACTGGAGTCCTCGTCATCATCACCATTTGCCATTGCTCGGAATGTTCGAAGGGCTTCGGAATTGGGAGGGAGAATGTCATCAATGGAAATGTTGGGGCGGTCCGGGGTCTCAGTTGAATATGGAATACTTGGTGCGAAATCTTCATCAGTGAAGATGGTGCGGTCAACAGGCCACAGGCCACTCTTCTTGAATGCAGCTTTGATGACGTCCGGTTGGAAAGTCTTTTCTCGCACCGCCATGTACTCTTTGACGAAGTCTGCAATATCCATCGTTCCACCCGTCTCCTGCGCAATTTCATCACACCGTTTAAGCCAGGCATGGGAGAAGGGGCCGAAAACACCAACATCGGCAGGTTGAAGATGGTCGGTGGTTTTGGAAGGGAGGATGATAACATAGCAATTATGGCTTTCTGCATAGTCGAGGATTAATATTGTTTCGTGCGACCCATGCCCATCCATGACCAAGAGGATTTTCTTGCCGCTTATATTCCATTTTGTTGCTTGCGGAATGAAACATTTGACAAACCAGTGGTATCCGATCTCATTGTCAGTCCAGCCTGTCGCAGATGTCCCAATACTATGCAACTCTGGTCAGAAATGCCAAGAAAACAATGGAGCAATGTTACCAAATCTCATCGTGAACCGAGAACCAGTCCGGAAAGCAGCCTTCTCCTGGAAAGACAAAGGTGGGATACATCGCCTGACCGGGCGGCATTGAATGTCTCCAACATTGTGATGAGTTGGAGACTGTCGCTACTACGTGACAAGACGATATCAGAACTGTGTGAATAACAACAGGACTTGATTGAGTATATACCTGACAAGACGATATCTACATAGAGTCATAAGCATATGTAAGATAGAGGAAAGCATGTAAGTAACTCACCAGAACTGTGTGAATAACAACAGGACTGGAGAGACGACGAGCTAGACTACTCAGTATATATACTCAGGCTAGCTATGCTGACTACACTACGTTGACTACGATTTATAAGTACGATGAGTAAGTAAAGGTAGAGGATGACTGAGCGAGTATTCAGTCCTTACCAAGCGCATTGGTTATTACCAAGCAGTCATGTGCAAGTATGGTAAGCGGATATGACTTCAACTTCAACACACCCCCCAGAAGACATATACGTCTTCAACCAGTATACTCAACGATCCCGAGCAAAGGAACAAACTTTGAGAACTTGTCATAACTCAAAGACTTTGTCAGGATGTCAGCAACTTGATCCTCTGACGGAATATGATAGAGCTCGATAACACCGTCTTCGACTTTTTCACGAATGAAATGATAGCGCATGTCGATGTGTTTGGTACGGCGATCATGAGTAGGATTCGAGGCCAAGAATATAGCACCCTGATTATCCACGCACAGCGGGATAGGTGGAGGCTCGAACCCAAGCTCTGTCAAAAACATCTGCTGCCAACAGAGATGACGAGAAGCGTCACTCTCAGACATGTATTCCGCTTCAGTAGAGGAGAGGGCCACAGTGGCCTGGCGGCGGGAGACCCAAGTAACTGCACCATTGGCAAGGAGTGTAACATAACCGGTTATAGAGCGTCTATCGTCTTTATTTTCCGCCCAGTCTGCATCGGAGAAACCAATCAAACCACTTTTGGATTTCCCATCATACTTGATATTGTAATCAAGTGTGCCTCGGAGATACCGCATTATATCCCGGGCTAACTTTAAATGATGTTCAGACGGATTTGAGCTATATCTAGCTAGACGTATGACGTAATAGGCGATGTCTGGTCGCGAGCCAAGCATGCCATATAGAAGAGAACCGATCATCTGTTGAAACAGAGTGCGTGTTTCCGGATCACAAGTTTCCTTGTTCTCCGTAATAACAACTCCTGGTGCAAAGGGTGTATCTATGGGGATGCTATCCATCATATCAAAGCGTTCTAGGACACTGACTAGGTAGCGACGCTGATTGATGAGAATTGAGCCAGACTCTTTATCTTGGACAATATCCAAACCAAAGGAAGTCAAGTTCCTGGCCTAAGTCAGTCATTTTAAAACGACTCTTGAGCTCTGACTTCAATGTAGCGATAGATTTCGAGTTATTCCCCATAATAAGCATGTCGTCGACATATAGCAACAAAACAACACAGTGATGCTTATATCTCCCTCCTGTCGACGATATACGTAGACACCCCCATCAGAGTATGTCCTGAGGAAACCAAGTTCAAGCAACGCCTCATGAATCTTCTTGTTCCACACACGTGCGGCTTGATGAAGACCATATAAATGACTTTTTGAGACGAGCGACTTGATCGGGTAAACTGAGGAAAGGACGGTGGTAGTTCAGGCAATTCCATGTAGATCTCCTCGTCTAAGTCTCCATGGAGGAAAGCGGACTTGACGTCCATGCCATGAATTTCCCAACCTTCAAGTGCAGCAATAGCTAAGAGTACGCGAACAGCCTCAAAGCTAACAACAGGAGCGAAGACTTCGTTAAAATCAACGCCGTGAATTTGTGTATACCCCTTGACAACTAACCGAGCCTTATAGCGACCATCCCGTTTCTTCGTAAATACCCAACGACATTTGACAGTGGAGCGACCCTTTGGAATATCTTTGCGATTTACAACTACCCAAGTGTTATTGTCCTCGAGTGCATAGAACTCTTCGCCAACCGCAATGATCCACTCAGGGGCCTCATCACTATCCAATGCGTCTTTAAGATGTTCGGGTATTCCATCTGCCCTCATTTTATTAAGATAATCAGACAGATTAAAATCGGGAGGAATGACTTTTCGCATAAGCTCGTCAATTGAATCAACTTTCCCTTCAGCACGACGACGACGTGTCTGTGCGTCCGGGTACTCGGGCCATTCCTTTTCAACAACTGTCCTCTCCCTATTGCTACGACGCAAAGGCGGAGCAGGAGGAGGAGGTTGAGGAGGTGGCGGAGCATCATTATCAAGGGGAGGAGCACCCCCATCAGGCTGTGCCGGGGGTTGCTCATGCTGCGGAACTGTCCAATCCATGTAAACAGGCTCAGGGACATACCCTCCTTGAGATTGTATCCGCTCTTTGGCTGGGAATACTCCTTCATCAAAGACAACATTTGAAGAAGTAACAACCCGTTGTTTAAACGGATCCCAAAAACGATATACACTTCCTTCGGAATTATCGTAACCAATAAAGATGACGAAATTATTGTGAGCGTCACCCTTAGTAGCATATTGGTTCTGATTAACGATGGAAGCTTTACAGCCAAATACGCGGAAATATTTGATCGATGGTTTATTACCGACCCAAATCTCATAGGGGGTACGCCAACCAATCCTCGCCATTGGTTGACGATTGTATATGTGGGTTGC